GGATGTGGACTTTTCCGCCGTAGTTTGGATGTCGTGAAGTGAATTGGCTGGGAAGAGGAGGCTGAAAATCCACGTCGCTCAGACAGTGGAGCGGCAAAGTGCAAATGATACGCTTGGATCGAACCATTTTGCCCGATTGTAACGCCATTGTTACTGAGCCAGGCTGAGAATCAACAGCGCGTACTGGATCCCCAAAGATTGAATCCCCGGTGACGGCGAAATCATCAAAGATAAGGTTCGCCATACCAGAGTGGCCAATAGTCAGCTTGAAGTGATCAGACACCTCTAGTAGTCTGCTCCAACTATAACCAGCCAAAGCATAGTATCGCAGTATTGCCAGGAAAGAGGCCTCTTCTGGCGGCGTCGATCCGAAAACCACCAGATTGGAGTATAAGTACATCAGATCCTCCTTGGAGAAGTCCACAAGTGAAGTCCACAAGTTGGTTCAGACGTTCTCTGACCGTAAGAGAGTCGTATTTTTTGACGGCCTCCAAGTTCGAGAGAGGCTCGTAAGGCCAGGGGAAGATAGTTGTCCCCCCTTGTCCGTCGATGTCAAAGAATGCCTTCGTGACCTGTTCCATCCTCTGCTCGACTGTTTCCCGGTCTAAGAACTTGGTCGGACCCGGGGTGGGGTTGTTTTCATGGAGGGAGCAAAACTCTGCTGCGGCGCTACCCTGGGTCGTCAAGAAATCTTTAGGCTCTGTGAGGCCATACCGGCTAAGCTCGCTCCAGATGTGCGGATGAATCCAGTGAACCCATTCGCCACCCATCTCAAACTTGTTGCCCATCATCTCGCACGTCCAAGTTCGTCCACCAACTCGATCTCGCCCTTCCACCAGCAAGACCCTCGCTCCAGCCTCTGCGACATCTCGTGCGGCAATCAGCCCAGTGTAGCCAGCACCTAGCACCACCACATCGTAAACTTTGTCCGAAGGAATTTCCTTCGAAGAAGTCTTATAGCCAATAGTAGGGAGGCCTCTTTGCACCGTGGAGGTTTGCACGGAAAAGTGAACGCCGTCCTGAGATCGCGGTATGCTCATGATGGTAAGGATGGCTCTGGAACTGTGAAGTCCCGAAGTTGTGTGCTAATCTGGGTCATATTTAAAACCCTGGAAACGCACTTAGAAGTCAGGGGTGGTCGCGATCACGATTGTGAGCAGTCCCACAACAGGCAGTTCGAACCCGACGGCGCTTACTGCACAACCCTGCCAGACACGAAATGGATATTTGTGGTTATGGCCTTCGCCAGCCTTGGAGAGATCCACTATTCATTGGCGACACCTGGACATCCACGGTAAACATTCTTATCACTAGGCCATACATTTCCTTGGAAGTGGTCCTTAAGAGTGTATGCCAGACGTTGGAAATTTTAGTTGAGTTCGCGAACCGGTCAATAGATACTTTGTGGCCCAAGAAAGGAGCGCAGCCGCTGCAAAGACCAGACTGAGGCAGACGCGGGCCGCTGCATTACTCCCCAACCCCAGATTGCCGCGGATTGGCTTCTCCGCACATCGCCAGCTAGTGGGCTGCACGCTAACAGCTAGCACAAAGCCAATCAGCAGGGAAGTGGCCAATAGGAGTCTGCGGGCTGGAAGGTTCCTTTTTCAGCGTGGAACCGCTGTCTTCCAGGGGTGTTCGCTCTCGTCTATCTGACCTACTGTACACCACCGTCGCCCAAAGTTTCTTGTTGAGCACGTCGACGAGAACCGTTTACAAAAGGCTGTTGGTCTTGGACTGATATTCCACGGTTGTGGACGGTGGCTCTCTGACCATCCTCCCCATTTCTTTCTCCCTAACCTATTCTTGCACTTCAACTGGTGCCGGCTCGATCATAGTTGAAATCGAACAACCACACCGAAGGCTCTCCAGTCTATCAATGAGGCCGACACCAAGCTTGTGGAGTTTGGGTACAACCCTGAACTGAGACGCTAGTACTCGTCCTTAGCATTGACGGCCGTTGCAATCATCACCTGCAATTCCTGGGGTGCAGTTGGAGGATCTCTCGTCGCAGGTAAAGTTGACTCACTCAGCGCCCAAGCCTAGAAGAAATAAGACTTGGTGACTGATCTCCTGGGCTGGCATCGCCTCCGGAGGAACTTCCACGACCATACATGGCTGGATCCTCATCAGCGTCGTTGCCCTGTTCCTGGCCTTGGCCTAAGGTGAAGTTGCCAGTGCCTACCCTACATCCGCTGGGGCATACTACTGGGTGGCCGTCATTTCGCCGAGGCATCTGATGGCGCCTCTCGGTCATATTACCGGATTGCTGAATCTAGTCGCTTGGATCACCACCATCGCTGGATCATGTCTCTTCAATACCCAATTTGTTATGGTGTTTGCAAACTTGGCAACCCGACTTCGGAGATCGAGGTAGGCCTTTTCGACTTCTCATTACTGGCAATCGTTCGCTGACAGAGACCTCTCAGCGCTGGATGATCTTTGTCGTCTTCGAGATCTTCATTCTCCTGGTGTTAGTGTCCGCCCTCACCTTGATCGTGTTTATTGCTGCCGTTCCCGCCTTCTTCGATATCTTCATTGCAACGGTTCGGTTGAACAGAGCTTTTGCTAGAGATAATGGACTCCCATTCTCGAAAAGGCTGGCAAATGCAAATTCCAAGCTCGGAATTCCTCCAATTATTCTCAACAATTTTGTGTACGCTAACCCCTTGGCCCTAAATATGTTCCAGCGCAGAGAGGCTATACTGCAAGGAAGATTCCGTCTAAACGGAGCCTTGGGCTGGGCTACCAATCTCATCTCATGCGCGTGCATCCTTTTTATGGTGATTTTTTTCGAGTTGCCTTTCGTACGCCCAGTCCGCACCGCCAACATGAACTACACGGTGGTTATTCTCGGATCGACCTTAATCATGGGCGCTTTCTGGTTCACCCTTTGGGTCCACAAGACATACCGTGGTCCAAAAATCAGGGCGATATTGGAGGGCTGTGAGATCCACATCCGTCACCAAGGCAGAAAGTCGACAGACGTCACTCCGCATAGCGAAACTGGTTAATCAAATTCGCTGTTTGCTCATTGAACACTATAAACTTTGGTCGTGTTTGTAAGTCCGTACACTGATTATACCGCACCCACTGACTCTGAAATTGTTGTCAAAGTTAGTGGTCCTCTATACCCGATGTACTGTATTCAATAGTCCACGGGTTTGATTCCAATCGGTACTTCAATTCAGCATGAAACCGTGGCCTTGTTTGTCAATTTCCGGTCTTGTTCCACATTTCCACCTTCCACTAAACATGACCACTCTTCATAGTACCTGTGCAGAGTGTCTACCACAAAATCAGATGACGATCTCAGCCAGAGCGGATCCACAACTGCTGTGGTGAAAATAAACGGCTCTACGAAGTTATTGCTAAAAGTTATGGCGAGTGGAAGGAATGCCAGTGGTGGTTTAGGAGTGATCAACACAAATCTAGGCGGATTCTCGAGCTCGGGCAAAGAGACCATAAGATATCTTTGTACATCTTCGACGAACGACTCAAAAGCGAGACGTCACCAACTGCTGGCCCTTCTTTCAAGTCTTTACTGCGGAAGCTACATCATACAGAGAGATTTATCTGTATAATCTCAGTATCTCACGGCTGCCTACATCAGTATCGGGGTGGTAAATCGCTACCGAGATATACCAATCTAGATCCATTCATTCATAATCGTGCCTGTGGAGGAACAAATGCGGTGACCTTCATCTCGACGTGAGAATCCGGAAAAGCAAGCTTGCCAGCTTCGAAACCGAGGACTGCGGGGCGGGTGTTTCCAAAATAATTCTTCATGATGTCGACAATGCAAGCAGTGACACGATCTTGGTCTTTGAAATAGAATGTAGCCTGGGTCAAACTGTTAGCAAATTGGGAGTTCGGAAGGAGACTTTCAGCCGGGCGTACATCGTAGATGTATTCACACGCATTTTCACCCAGGCCCGCTGCGATCAGAGCCTTCTTGACATTCTGGAAGCAAAGGTCCAGCTCGGTGGTCAAGCCGTTCGGGATCGAGCCATCTGCGAGAACTCCGACCTGGCCTGACAAGGTCACAGTTCGGGCATGTGGCGGAACAATGACTGCCTGAGAACAGTGGACTTCCTCTGAGAATGCTTCGGAGCCAGGATAGTTGATGAACTTGAAACCAAATGATTCAAGTACAGAAGCCATGATTGAGCGTAGAGGGTACTTTTCGAAGAATACAGACCGACCATAGGTATTGACGTGAAATCAGGAAGTCACAATAAGAATACAAGAAGTTGAAGAAGTTCAAGAAATTCAAACAGTCTATCTGCTGAATTAGACCACAGTCTGACTCAAGTAGCGAAGTGAGGGACCTAGAATGTCGGGCGTAAAGGTTGCTGTAGTGTTCTCCACTGCTCAAAATACTCCCAGGCCTGTAAGGCCAGTAGCTTTGTAGAGGGTCCGACAGCAACATTGCGGCCTGTAGACGTGCAAGTGCGACATGTTTGCCCAAATGGGAAATTCTCCATCCGACCAGCCTGATTTGTTGTACCTTCGCAGATCTACATAGCGCTTGTGGAGATCATCAAGTCGCCACGATCACGATCACGCTTAGAATCAACCTGTTGTCCAGTCCACGGTGCGGCAGAACAAGTCTCAGAGTGTTGGTTTCGGGCTATGCAGGTAAATGCGGACCACAGGGTTCTTATGTTTATCTAAACGAACTGGGCAATTCCAATTAATCTCAGGATCTGCGGAGGCGAGCATCGAAGGCTCTCCTGTTCTCCACGGACTAACCTCGCTGGGTACAAAGTTCTCATGATAGAAATATTGTCTGATACGTGCACAAGCTTTGGCATTTCCACGCTAGGCAGTCTCTGGCGCAAGCGTTTAGTCGAATCTCTGTAGTATATATCTCTGTGTCAAGAACAGGCCCGTCAAAGACGGTCAGGTGAATATGATATCTCTGGGTACGTTAGGTTGTGCAGGACTGTGATTGAAGTGCGTTGTCATCGTTTTGTGGACCGCCAGTGAGGAATCGATCCTCATGGTCCTTTTTGTGCTGGTTCAACGAAGCCCGAAATGCGGTCAAACTGTGCCTTATCCGCGAGTGGTCCGAATTCTGTACCAACTGCGGTTGGATTGCCCACCTTCCCAGCACTCACTTGTAAAGCGTTTACGTATTCCTTCATATAAACCTTTTCGTCTTCCTGGACAAATACTCTACTGGCCGCAACGCAAACTTGGCCTGAAAAGTTGCAGAGACCCTCCACAGTCCATTTCACGGCGTTCTTCAAGTCGCAGTCGTCGAAGATAACTACGTGGCTTTTCCCACCAAGTTTCAGTGCTACACACTTGAAGCTCGATCTCGCCGCCATTTCCTGGATTTCCCTCCGATCAGGATACTCCCGATGAAACTGATCTTTCCAACGCTATGTGGCTGGCGAAGAATGCGTCGGTGGCTCCATCTCCAGGGAGCACCTGAAAAATGTCGGGTGATATGCCAGCTTGTCTTGCAAGCTACTCAACTGCGATGGAGGCAAATGACATCTTCTCCGACAGCTTGAGTATGAAGTAGTTTCCCGTTGCCGAAGCTGGATTTGCTTTAAGCCCGACTGTAAACAATGGTCCATTCCAAGGAACAATACCTACCGTTAGCCCCAAGGGTTCATTCCGAATGATCTTAAAGAATCTGTCATATTGTGAGAAAGTTTCGCCAGAGCACTTTTAGATCCAGCTAACGTAGTAGCGAAGACTATTGGCAGCGAATCTAGCTTCAAATCCATTGAAAGCGGCCATGGAGTCCAAGGTCAGACGAGTAAGCTCCCCGAGGACTGTGGCATGACGCTCGATTAGGCCTGCAAGCCGGAGTAACACTTTACGGTATTCCTTAGGCGGCAGTGCTCTTCAAGCTGGAAAGGCCCTTCAGTGCATGAAACAGCCAGCTCGACGTTCTCTTCGCCTGCCACAGGGGACATCATCGGCGACCACGCTGCCGGCTTCTGGCTTGAGAATCTTTAGCTTGCTACCCTTTTTACGATCAATGTACTCATGTTCGACGAAGATCTGCTTGGATAGGCTGCCTGTTAAGAAAAGAAACCTCATAACACAGTAGACGGATCCCAAGTGATTTGCGAAGTTAGCTGTTCCAGACGAGTTAAGGTGTCAGACACCGTCTCAAGTAAAGCACTTCAAAACAAGTGTGCGTGGCCGAAGGTGACTATTTGTTCAAAGCAGGTAGCAGTATCGTGTGACTGCTAGTCTCCAATCCATCAACACAGGATGTCATGACCTCAAACTCAGTCAGCTTGCTTGTGGCCGGTCGATGATTTGAACATTGTTAGTGGGTCCTCTGGCAACTTTCGTCCAAACAGAAGCTCCGGGTTAAGATGGCCCAATAACGACCAGCCGTAAACTCAAGTATTCCGTGAATAGGGCCACGATCGTTGTTCTAGACTGCCGCTGCTTGGATATGACCCAAAAATTATATGATCGCTGCAACAACTCGTAGGCTTTCTCTGTACGCGGGCCGACGACATCTCACGGTACATTGATTAGCCCACGGCTTCCGACATCTTTCCAATCGTTCATGCCGTGCAACGACCCTATCCCTAGACTGCTGTCGAGGAACAAAGCCTCTATCCTCGGATACCTAAGTAGTTCGGGCTGTACCCCATGCGACATAATCAAGTAACGGAAGCAAGTTACACTCTACAGCTACGCATGGGCAGCTCAAGGTGGCCCACAAAGTAGCGTAGATGTGTTCATACACAAAGATAGCGATTCGTCAATGAATTGTCGCTTGGGTGTGTCAATCAAAACTCGATTAGCTTAGAGAGGCGACTCGGCCTCTCCCACCGTTTCTGCTGGCTAGTATTTGCCGTACAAGATAGGATGAACTCAAGTATCAAACGACATTGACTCGTGCCACCGGTTCCGATGGACAGTATATTGCTACAGGAATATCAGAAAAGGTTCTTAGCCTATCAGTAGAAGTTAAATATTGTAAAGCCTACACCTCCCATTGGGCCGTGCCGATATTGGACGGTATAGAATCCGTGCATGACGTCATAAAATCATTGTTGTGGGTCAGGCTTCTTGTAATTATTATTCAAGCTCGTTTAATTGATGAGCATCTCAATTCCTAACTGGTCGAAAGCCTCAAGCCAAGTGATATCGACATCGTCAGATTCACTCTTGCTCCATACCATTTCTAGGGCATGGCCAAGAACCATGACCAAATCAATCTTATTCCTGGATTTTATCTTTTTGAGGCTCTCGATAATATATTGCTGCCTCTGAAAATCATCTCGTGCTAGTGAAGACCCTGCTGCGAGGACAGGGAATGAGCTGACGTTCCACAAAGAGTTGTCTTGCGGGATCTGCTCGAGGCTGTCTATTATCGAAGCGGCCATATTCCGGAGAAACTCTCGAGAGCTTGAATAAGTACCTGTCAAGGTGCGCAACCTGATATCAAGTAAAGAAGTGAATGCAGTATAGAAGGTCAGTAGTGCTGCACGACAATAGATACCAGCCATAATTGCAAAGTAGTTGACGGAAATCCCTTCGGCCACCTGATTGAAGTCGGATTGTGTCCCGCGCCAAAAGGTTGAACATTGACCCGGCGAGACGCAGCCGTCGTTCGGTGTGACAGTCGTCGCGGCTCGAGCTTCATTTTGCCACTCCATCAGTCTACTCTCCACCAGCTTAGCGTACGCTAGCAGAGCATCGGAGATACCCTGCTTCCTTAGATTCCGGACTGCAACGCCAACCATGCCAACGTAGGGCATGAGAGACGACCAGGTACCAACCAGGGGATCGACGTTTAGCGCACTCCCATAGATCAGAGAGCGAGTGAGCGAACTTTTCTGAAGCGGACTGTCGGCACCACCTTCGTGATCAACGCTCATATAGATCGCGGGCTCTTCGTGGACGAGGCCCTGATAGTCGCAGACGTATCCGATCAATGACTCCAGCCAACACAGGGCGTTTCGAATGAAGTCGGGCACAGTCCGACCACGTTCTCGATGCATTTTAAGCAATCGTGCTCCAGCCTTGATATGTGGGCGGCCATTCTTGGCGGGATCGAACCATGACTGAGCGAAAAGTTAGCTGAATTTCCACCAAGATTGCAGCAGGATATCAGTATGGCTCTGGGTATGCACGAACCTCAGTAAGTGCAAGCATCACAATGCCCGCCAGCGTAGAAATCTCGAAAGGACGGAAACTCAGCTCTTTCCGCAGATGGCTAATTGCAATGTTTCTGTGCCGCCATGCACAATCATAGAGCGCGAATGTCTGATCCCGGAATTTCAGGTACATGGCAGCTGACGACAAAAGCGTGTGGAACAGTGCTGGGCTGTGCCCGCTATATACACCCATCGTGGTGGTAAAGGGATTAGGACTCTCCTGAGAAACCGTCATGAGCGGAGCCACATCATTCATGTAACAATTGAGCAAGATCTGGTCGAGGAGATCAGGCTCACTTATGCGAAATGAATATGGCTGAAGGATATCGTGTTCGTTGACGGATTGGACTTCAATACCTGCACATAGGCTGTTGGTCCTAGGGTGGTCTGGAAAGCACGAAGCCACGCTGGGGACAAGTTCTGCGCTGGTTTCTGTGGCTGGCGTGCTGATCGAGGCATCACCTGGTTCGTACTGCTCTTGATCAATGTTTTTCGCTAGCATGAAGCTGAATTCACTGTTCGGTAGCCTCGAAGACGGGAACAAACTTCTTTGTAAATGATTCAGTTCATAGCACTTCGGTAAATCCAGCTTCCGGGAGCGTCTGTGGCCTGCCTTCGGATGTTTCTCCTTCTGCGCGTAATCATCCACACCATACTCGATGATCTGAAACCTGGTCGCTCGCCGGTATCTCTTGAAAGCCCCGTAGCCAGAACATTGGATTCGCCGATGCCGACAGCGCGAACACGGAGGCTCACCTCCGTCGCAGCGCGCATGGGACTCTCGGCAGTTGTCGCAGCCTGGTACACAATATGAGGTCAAATTCCACAATGCATCGCTGGCACTACATACATTGTTTGCCACGAGCGCGCCGCGGAGGAAGTTGAACTCGCGGTACTGGCCTGGAGAAATTGCTGTGCATCATACCTCCAATTTCCCTGCTAGCCCGAACATGGACGCAAAGTTTTCATTCGGCGACGGTGGATTGGATCCAAAGACGACACATGTAATCAGTCAGATGAATGAAGTGATAACCACGGAGCAGGATCTGGCCAGACAAGTCAAACCAAGCAGAGCGGGGTAAATCGAACCAGACAAGAACTTGAGCTGGACAGAAGTTGTTCGGCGCGCCTCTGACAAGACCGAGATGTTATCTCTGGCCAATCAAAGCGCCCGGGTTACTACTGCCAATTCGGGCATCTCCACCTGGCAGGTAGTGCATTAGTGCTCCCCTTTGAAAGTATACCCAGAAAGGTCTAGAACTAGGCTGAACTATGGGTGTGGTTTGGCACGAAGTATCTGGGACGGTGACTGACCCATTGAGTATGTCGACCATTTATGCTCTTCATCCGCCATATGTTCCTCGTCCAGCACACGGAGAAGACTACAATCATGTCCAAAACTCGTGACGGCAACCATTACGTCGCCCAGTCGAAGGCGTGGACAACGGGTGTCAACAGCTTGGCCGCAAGCGCCACAGCGACATCGTCCACAAAGACCCTGAAAGAAAGCTACGATGTGATCGTCATTGGCGCCGGCTACGCTGGCCTGGTCGCCGCTCGGGACGTCGCCTTCGCTAAGAAAGATGTTCTGCTCGTGGAAGGCCGCGATCGAATTGGTGGTCGCACCTTCACATATGATTTCTTAGGACATAAAGTCGAGCTCGGTGGCACTTGGGTTCACTGGGCTCAGCCTCATGTCTGGTCAGAGATGTCCCGATATGGTCTCACGGATGGCCTCGCCCAGAGCAAAGCATTCAGTGAACCAGGAGAATTCTCCATCAATTACAACAATGATGAGAATAACACAGCGCTCCTGCGAGACCCACGATCGACAGATGCAGCCATGCAGCGCCTCGTGGCTGCGTATTTTGACGTGGATGGCTTCGGAGGACGGACGATTTTCCCGTTCCCGTTCAAAAAGATGACCAATCTTGAAGCCATCCGAAAATATGATAATCTCTCGACCAAGGGCCGATTACAACAATTAGTCGGCTTTTCGCGGGAAGACATTGCATTGCTTGCGGTAAATCTGACTGCGTTCGGCTCTATCCCGCCCGAGGAGCAGTCTTTCCTCACCACCTTGCACTACTATGCATTGGCAGACTACGATTACGACCGCCTGATGACCATGATGGGCCGGTACAAGATCGCAGAAGGCCAATCCACCTTGGCAGCAAACATCTTTGGGGAGTTCACGGGCGATGCGGTTTTCAACAAAGCCGTGCAATCAGTGGTATCGTCTCCATGCAAGGTCGTTGTGTCACTCAGGTCGGGAGAGAAGATCACAGCAAAACATGTCATATGTACCGTGCCCATCAATTGCCTAAATGACATTACTTTCACCCCTCCCTTGCCACCACCAATGGTGAAGACTCAGCACCGAAATTGGGGTGGTAAGGTCATCGTGCATCTGGACAAGAAGATCCCATCGTGGTGGGGCCTCACCGCTGCGCCGACACCGGTCGACTGTTTGCTCGTTGACAAGCATTCTGAACACGATGGGACATTTGTGGTTGGATTTTCTCCGAGCGACGCCCATCGAACGGGTGGCAAGGTTGTCGAGGACCCCCAGATCTTCACTGATAAGATGCTCAAGCTGTGTGTGCCATCGACTTGGGATGCTCATGTGACCGATCTGATTTGGCATGACTGGAACAGTGATGAGTTTTCAAAGGGACAGTGGGCGGCATGGAGCGCTGGTCAACTCAAGGAGCTCAACTCTCTATTGGCAAGTGCTAATGTCAGTCGAGAGTTGACCCTGGCAAGTGCCGACTGGGCGGATGGCTGGACGGGTTTCATTGACGGAGCAATTGCAGAAGGAAGACGTGCGGCGAGAAGAGCTGTCTTGAAACTTGACTCCCCCAGACTATAATCTCACGCTGCGCGTTTCGGAAGTACGTCCAAAAGTTCTTCGAACGGGTTCTGGAAAAGGCCTCACACCTTTGCTGTGATTTGCTCTTTCTCCGAGGTTTCAAGCGTCCTCCATTCTTCTAATGTGCAGGCCAAAGGGCAGCAGTGATCACAGCATCACCGAAGAGTGCGAGTGTGCATTATGGCCACATGAACGCACGAGACGCTCTAAAAACCTGTAAACTATAATTTTTATGTATTTGTATTGGTCTTTTACTTTCGCCACCATAGACTTCCTCGACACTATATTTAATCGAGTATAGCACTCACGAGCCGGCTGCCATAGCTAAGGATTGATTCCAATTGTTCCAAGAACAGCACCTTGGGACCGACGCTCGTGCCTCGAACAAACACCCGCTGATGCTGTGCTTGTGGGCTCCAGACCATGCCTCAAATATGATTCTGCGATTAAGGGATGTACTGAATGATCAAATAGATATGTGTATATATTACGAAGCGTAGAGAAAGACATCTACATGCCTAAGATGACCAGATGTGCTCTCTCTCTGGGACGCCTATGATTCCAGCATTCAAGGTCACGCCATGCAACGAGTAATATGCAATCACTTGGATCAAAGCTAGGGTCTGATCCCATCCCAGGATGCTGTTTGCGCGCTCCCAGAGTTCTTGTTCCAAAGGGTTCCCACCCTTGACCAGGCGTACCGCGAGCTGGAAAGCCACGCTCTCCTTCTCACTGAGCCCGGAAGGCTCTTCTCCCTCCGTAATCTCCTTCATCTGTGCCTCAGAAAGCAAATTTTTATCCACAATAATCCTCGAATGAGAATAAGTGAGATATCCGCCAACAACACCGGTGTAGTGACCTTGTACGGCCATAGTTGCGACTTCAGTGGGCCCTGGCTCGAGTGCGGGAAGGCTTAAAACCTCAAAATTGAGACGCATTGTATGTGATGAATATTGGGGAGTGTACATCATAATAGACAAAGGACCGAGCAGCTCTCCGTTGTTACCGATTAGCGTAAGCCTTTGCCACAAAGCTATTAGCTGCGTCTTGCTTGTCAATGTCGGGACCAGAATTGTACGTACGTTGAGCCCATGCCATCTCGGATTTTGCCCATCATTTCATCGTAGAACACCTGCTGCTCTTGAGTAAGCTGCTGGGGAGGAATTGCGGGATACCGTGGTCCAGACATGGCGAACAAGGTTATGGTCAAAAGTGGACGGTCGGATGAACATAGAGCGCACGCCTTGAGACATTGAAGAATTGACCAGAGGCCTGGAAGAAATGTTTTTTAAAGACTCGTTTTTGGCCAACTCAATCGCCCCCCCTCAACGCCATTACGGAGTGAGTACTATTGCAACCACTGTGGTACGCAAACGTTTCTGGGCCAATCACATACCCTTTGGTCAGGTTCTGACTGGACGAATCAGAAGGTACGAGCTGGAATGTGCTCTTTTGGGAATGACAGTACGAAACTTTGTTTTCTGATCCAGGACAGGAAAAGCCTGAAAGCTCAGTGGACATAGATGCCACCCTCACACCGATAAGTATCTACCCGACATGTCCGCGAGCGGGAAAGGGAGCTGCGGAGGTGGAGGCGCTGGGGATGGACGTGGGTAGTCTCTAGGCTCTTGACGAGCTCTACCGTCCTTTCAAGACCATTGGTAGTACGTTGTCGGTAACACAGTTCCCAGTTAGGTACACCTTGCTTCAACTGTTTCGTCTAGCCAATGGCAAATAGCTACTAGCGGAGGAGTGAGCAACCATTTTGGGCCAGTGTTTTGTACCTGGACAGGCTATGGTCTGCCTCTGTCTGCTACAGGCCTAAAATATCACCTCAAAGACGGCTCCGTCGTGAAGCCAGGGCCGATTTATGTCACCATTTCGTATTGAAACGCTCTGTCACGGATCTATGCTGTCAATATTCTATTTCAAATGAGCTTGCCTCGGACCACGTGAAAATGTATCGGCAGAAATCAGCAGAAAGATCAAAAGTTCCTCGGATTTGAAGACATGCTTGACCGCTTCAAGAGGATTGTGCAGTGATGGGGAACTGATTATGTCAGCTGGGGAGCTATTGGGTCATGCTGCCAGTTATAGTTTTGCTGCAACAACACGACCGCCATATCGCTGCGCTTAATGTGATACCATTGTACTTGTACAAGAATTCGCAAGGCTATGACAAGCTGCGGGACCGTGATCAACCCATTGGATCATCAGCAAGGGTTGTCAGCAAAAGCTTGATTCTACAAAGCCCTTCGCATGCCTTACCTACAAGTGTGCATTAAGGAAGCGATGCGACTACAGACGGCTGTTGTCTTTCTGCTGGAGCGCATTGTGCCAACTGTAGGAGTGGTCATCGGAAAAGCCACAACCCGGGGGGTACTTGTATTGGAGTGAATTCGTGGGTTGTATTCAAAATTCAGCCTGTATACGGAGATGATGCGGAGAACTTTTGACCAGAGAGATGGACATGCGCTTCGTTGTTGAGGTCTGTTAATTGTGGCTGAGCAATTTGCTTGACATGGTGCTAGACAAACTTTGAACCAGATCTCCCCCACCACGAATTAACAGGTCAAGGCTGATCATGTAACGTTTGCGATACGCGATATCGGCCCAAGCTCCCAGAAGAAAAGCTTGTCTCAAACACTGTGGTGTTGCTCCTATCGCGCTTCGTTTATTTTTAGATATTTGCACTTCTTTACTGGTTACAGTCACTCCCTATTTCACTTTCTGAGAAAAAACGCGACGCGACGTATGGAGTATGCACTACGGAGTAGTCTCTCTGAATTCTGCGCTTGACTTTTCCCTTCGTCCTTTGCAAAATTAATATCCTGAACTCGACCACCAATGGTTCAGTTGCTGAGCTTCATTCCTATCATTGTTAACAGTTAAAATGTTCGGATAATGAGGAGATCATGCTGCCCCCCGATGAAAGACATGGGTGGTAACGATTTTTCTCCAGGCGCTCATCTAGGTTACTCAAATCTTCCCAGTCGGACCCTAAAGACATCTACTCAACTGAACACACGTTGGAATCCATTGTTTCTCCGACGTTGGGTTCTTGTTGCCTTCGCCATCTTCTTTGCTGCTGTTATTGCCGCTCTTCAAATTCTGTACAGTGTGTCTAGTCAGAATGATGGGGTTGCCACAAGCGACAGCAACAAACACTACTTGTGGACATACGGGCCGACGGCAGTCTTCGTCTTGACCACAGTCCTTTGGCGACAGGTTGACTATGCTGCCAAATCGATTCAGCCATGGGCAGAAATGGCCCAAAAGCCTCAGCCAGCCCAAAACAGCTTACTGCTCGACTACGTCACCCCCTTCCAGGTTGTGGCGCTCTGGAAATCGTTGTGCCGGCGACATTTCACCGTGTCGTGTACCATCGTGGTCTTCTTTCTCCTCAAGGTGGCGACAATTCTATCAACCGGTATCTTCAGTCTGTCGTCCGTACAGCGCGATGACGTCGCGGTTACTATGAGGCTGAACAACACGTTCGATGGCTTAACCTTCAACCACGGGGCGTCTGTGGACTCACGAGCAGCGTATATTGTCTACGGAAATCAACAATATAATGTTAGCCTGCCGGCCGGTACCACGACGTCTTTTGCGGCGCAAAGCTTTACCCCTTCGACTGGACTCGTCAACGGCAGCTTGTCGTACACCGCTTTGGTTGACGTTTTCAGTGCCAGCCTCCAAGATTGCCAATCCGGCACAATCGCCTACAACATCTCATTTGACAGGACCCAACAAACACCCATTTCCTCCTACTACAACAGCACCATTTCCCTTCCCGGGTGCGAAGTCACCAACGCAAAACTCAATGCGCCGAACTGGTACTACATGCAAAATCAAACCACTCACAATTTTGGTTATCGAGGGTCTCTGCAAAATGTATCATGTTCCAATCTCCCTGAAAACGACCCTACACGGAGCCGATACATGATCTCTGTGGCGTACTCGGAAGGATTCTCGCAGAATAATTTCACCATGTTGAACTCGTCGAATGTCGTTTGCCTCCCGTCTTACTCGATTCAAAAGGCAGTAGTGACGCTGGACACCTCCGGGAACGTCGAGGCCGTCAATCTGACTGGAGATGGCCACCTCCTTCCCGACGTGACAGTAGATGACATTGCTCGCGGGGTCTTGAGCACATTGGAGCAAGCTAGCTCGATTATGGAAGGTTTTTCCAGCACCATAGCCCTAGATACATTTCTCACTCTGATGCGGGATGCGACACCGGATTTTGACACGCAACAGCTCCTCGACCCAGACTACCTGAACCGGACTGGCAGCACCGTATTCGGATTTGTGGCGGCGCAATTAGCAAACATATATTTGCTGGCTCCGAGTGCGACCGCTTCCGACACAGAGGTCCGAGGGACCCTCAGCCGAAATGTGAACAGACTGTTCGCTTCCAACAACCCCATCAGAGGGATGCAGGGTGTCATGGCCGCCATACTTCTGCTAGCCCTGATTATACTCTTCATTTCTCCAAGAGGGGTGGTCCCGAGGTCAGTGGATTCCATCGCAGCGATTGCGGCCATCCTTTCCCGGAGTCCAGCTCTCGAACACCGACTACGTGGCACAGGACATATGGGCCTTGGAGAGATCGAGACCATTCTTGACCCCTGCAGGTTCATGACCTCGATGCGACGCCACGGAGACTCACGAGTTTTCGAGATACAAGTGCTCTCGCCCGATGGGTCTGAGGTGCACACCGTGTCCAGAAAAGACGGTGTCCTCGGTTCGGTCAATTGGACTCGACCGTTTGTGCTGCGCAGATTAGCCATCGCCTTTACCATATTTGCGTCCATAGCCGTCATCATCACCCTAGAAGTGTTACTGTCAGTGTCGCAGAGGAATCACGGGCTTGGAACCGTTCAAAGGCTGGATGCGGCAATGAGATACAGCTGGCTTTATGTACCTGTCATGGTGTTTTTGTTTTTGGGGACCCTATTCAATCTCATGGACTTTGAGATCGAGTTTTCCGAGTCATATCATGCTCTCACGAAAGGTGACTGCAACGCCGGTTCAAGCATGTTTTGGAATCCTCTCCGACACATCTCGTTGTATGCGACATGGAATGGCCTCAAACATAGCCGGTTTGCACTGACGGCAGCATCATCATCGGCGGTCCTGGCCCCGTTTTTGACAGTCGTTGTCGCAGGATTGTTCTCGACCAATGCAACGGACTATGGCACGTCTATCAATGCCACGGCGCTCAACTGGTTCAACACAACCCCTTACCAAAGCCCCTCTACTAACATTCCGGCGCTGATTATCGAAGGTAACATGTCGTATCCTCAATGGACGTACAGTGAGCTAGCGTTTCCCCAAGTCCAGCTTGACGATCAGAAAGTGATCAGTACGCCGGAGAATGGGGGATCATTATCCATCGAGTTGCCCGCGCTTAGGGGCGCTGTGAGCTGCGACGTGGTTCCCGACAGCCGCATCCTACAGACCCAGATACAGGGTAACTATCTCGCGAGTAATATCTCCACCCCAGACGGCTGTGGAAACATGGGCTGGATTGATCAACCGGAACTTTTCTTGACCAACAACATCCAGATTCCAGTCAATTCATCTGGGTACTTTGGCCAAACTCTGACGCTGGGTAATCCTTCATGCCCGTCACTGGCCTTGTACTTCGGCCACGTGAATAGCGGCGAGGTGGACCACTTTGCGGCGGTATTGTGCAGCATGTCCTTGGACCGTGTGCAGGCAAACGTAACACTAGATCTTCCAGGTCTGTCTATTTCGACGGACCCTACCGTTGGACCGGACTCCGCCGTACACTTTTCCAGCTGGTACATGACGTGGCCCACTCTCCAGATACTGAATGTCACTTCTACGACGGATGAATTGGACACAACATTTACAGCCATGGTATATGGTCGTGATGGAGTTCCGACGCACGAACTCTTGAACAACGACAAACTGATCGACACGTATACCCATTTCTACCGGCAATACACCGCCCAATTGGCCAGCATCTACCTCCGATCAGACTTTTCCACCCTGTCTGACAACGCGACAGAAACCGTCGACAACCCTCTCTCGGCAACCTATGTCAACCCCAATCACTACCGACTGATGCAGTCGAACATATCCACACAGATTCTAGTCGGCGTAGTTTCGGCTCTTCTCGCCTGTGCACTCATAATCCTCCTTACCATTGACATGCGAAACGTCCTGCCGAAACCTATGGGAAGTGTGGCCGCGGTAGCCAGTCTACTGGCGGGCAGTCGAATTGTCGACCCGGATTCCGGATTGATCCCCGAGGGAGCCGAGTTTTGGAGCGACGAGCAGTGGCAAAAGAATGGTATCTGGCAAGGGGAGATGTTCCGGATGGGCTGGTGGGACAAGTTCCAACAACCGTGCAAGACGTGGCACGGTCAGCTAGATGAGAGCGAGCACGCCTACTTGGCCATTAGTGGGAAGGAATCTTCTCCTCTATCCGAAATCAACGGTGGTCAGGTGTTGCCCGAGTCTCATCTCTCATTCCGAATCGATGCTCGTCCGAGAGTTGTGTCGTGATAGAATCCTAGTTTGTGGGGAGTCCAAAATTCCTCACAGCGACAGAGATTGGTGTGTATAGTCACAATCCGAAAGATCGTTCATGATTTGTGCAATTGGGTTTTTGACCCTAACAATATAATCTCACACTTTCACATTAAATATTATACAAATTGCATAAATAGATAACTAGACCGACACTTTCGATTGTTCTGTGGTTTAATTCTTTCCAGGTCTACAAACTGGGGCCAAATTATTAACGTATCTGACGGGGCTCACTCGTACTATGCTCCTTGCTGCGCACTCTGTCGGCTTGAGCCGTGGGTACACCCTTGGCATTCAAGTCAGGATGATATCCGGCCCATCATGCTTTCGCAACTTCTGCATTACTGATAAACTTGTTCTTCGCTGCATCGGCTCGTTTGTGGACGGTGATCACAACAGCGCCACCAAGTCCAGGATTGTGCTGCAAAGCCACAGATGTGTTCTCCACAAGCCTGTTGTTTGCTCATCCACGTAGCTGTCACACCAGCTCTGCAAACTGGGCCAAGGCTTGTCTCGCCCAGAGGATGCCCCTTCGAAATGAGGCCACCGGATGAGTTGATGACACAGCTACCACCATAGGTAATGTTGCCGCTCCGCACCATCTCGTGCGGCTTCCCAGGTCCACAGAGCCCAAAGCCATAGATGGTGATGAGCTCATTGGCCAGAAATAATTGTGCATTTCGTGCACAGCGATGTCGTTGGGAGAGACACCGGCTTCCTCGAAGGCCGCTAAAGCGGCCTTCACCATCGTATCGCATTGTCTGGAGGCAACGCCACGGCACTTTCTACTATTCTTGGGAATAAATCCTGATATTATTGCTGCAGGTGTATTTAGGTTGAAACAAGGGTTTGCAGACTCCATCAGGGTTGTCTATGTAATTGCCACTTCGTTTGGTGCTTTGGCATGCTTTGCTTGCTTTTTCGTCAGAGGCTTCCGCGAGCTGATAGCCATTAGACGCTCGTTTACCTGACCGGCGCAAGTGTAAAGTCTCCTTGATGAAGAAAATTTGATTGAGAACGCCCTGAACGCTTCCCGACTTTGGAAGGACCTCTTTTCTTCTGCACTTTAAGTGTTGAGTGGTAGATATTCTCACGATGCGAAGTGATGTAGACCTTTCTCAGGCCTGTGGCTACTTTACCGAAAAAACACTTTTGTCAACGTCTGCCAAGCATGAAAAAACGGTGAATATAGACTGATGATTTGGGATCCGGAAAACGAAGAGGACAGCGCGGTTCGAGTCAGGCCCTCCGTTTAAAGCACTCGAAAGTGGGAGTTTCGGTGCAATTAAGAGCTCGAGCACCGCTAAAGCCATTGGGACATGACAAGAGGACGAGCTATTTAGTTTCGATCGAATCTGGGAATTGGTAAGAATCTGGTGAAGTCTGATTTGCTTAGTTGGCGCTCTTTCTCACTCTTACGATACATGCCGATCTAGTTATTTGAACTATAGAGTTGGGCCTTGTCAGCTATGTCGACATTAAGTATAAGTTGCGGACAAGCGGCCGCAAGGACATAGACTAGGGAAAGAGAACACATTGGATCTTTTCTGGCTGTGGAGAACCAGAGTCACTTTCATGCTTAGACTAGACTAGGTTCTGATATTTCACCACCAATGATTGTGCAAAATTGCATTCCATGAAAGGGGGCCGATAAGTACAGCCTGCCGTCGTCTGATGAGAGAAACGCTTGGTTTTATCTACCTTAGAATCGCTGTATCTCACTCATTCCAATATTACGGTATAAAATCAAGCTTATACGGAATATGCGCTCTTGTCTGTAATACCTGTTCCAAGTCTTGTATGAGAAGTCAGTCGGGACTCAACTTACCTCAGCCGATATCATTTCTTCGCGGCAAAGGAGTAGGTGCGCCAGGTCGCGGTATTCCGGCGGCCGCATCTCTTGCGCGTCACGTCTGAGTAGGCACGCTCAGCGTGCAGCATAACCCTCCCCTCGAGCAGTTCGCGGTAGAAGATGACCTTGGGAGGCGCGACCTACCCTGCCAAGATCGTCGAATGACGTTCCTTACGCTCTCTAGCTGCAGTTGCCGGGAGGTGTAGACGAGACCTTGCCTGATCTGCAAGTGGGTGGATGAATGCGTTCTAGTGGCTCTGCCTGGCAGCTTGAAAATCCGCTAGTCTTCGGGAATACTGATAAAAGCTTATCGTGGTTTATGATATTTTCGGCGATAAAAGGTCCAAGTGGATTCACGCATCGATCTATTTTCGGCGATAATGCATCAGCGCCTCAAGTAGTCCGACATCCCTACTCATTCAAAGTGGCCTTAGATGGTTTCGGGACTGGAGGAGTTTTGGAGCGTGATCAAAATGTTCGAGCTCTGAATCTCTTAGGTATAAATAAAGGGAACCAAGGATAGATCGCTATCAAGATTCTTTGCCTGCACGGTATTCCTATCCATTCAGTAACACAGCAAAACAAAAACCACTTCCGATATCGCGTAACTTCAGCTCGTCTAAACTATTCGATATTCAACCCACACTATGCCTGCTCACGGAAACTATACGACCGAAAAGATCCGCTATCCGTCCCACGGCGAGACAATTAGTGCGGTGCTCTTCCGGCCTATGGGAGTCGCTAATCCTCCTGGTATCGTCCTTACCGGACCCTATTCATTCATCAAAGAGCAGGCACCGTACCAGTATGGTTCTCGGTTGGCCGACGAGGGATACGCGGCACTGATTTTTGACCCGCGCACGGTGGGTGAGAGCACGGGAACCCCGCGGCGACTCGAGAACCCGAAAATGAAGAACGAGGATGCTATCGCAGGGCTGGACTACCTCGTCTCGCGCGGCGATGTCGACGTTTCGAGACTGTTCGTGGTCGGCATCTGTCAGGGTGGACCTGAGAGTCTCGATATTGCATCGTACGACGACCGAGTCAAAGCTGCGGCGTCCGTCTCAGGTTATTTCCGCGATCACGAGACAGACATTTACATGATCAGCGTCGGGTGTGTGGCTTGGGAACCGGGCATGGATATTGGATCCCTCAAGATGCCTACGCCGGAACAAGGTGAAGCACTGTTGCGGGCGCGACTCGAACGAGCCCGTAAAGCTCGCGAGCTGTACGATACTACAGGTGAAGTTGTCTACCAACCTCTAGTCGACCCAAAGGCCGCCGATCCAGACACTGGGGCTTTAGCTGGTCTCCCAGGCCCTACGGTATGGGCGTGGTACGGACCCTGGACCTTGAAGGGATTCGAGAACCGTTATGCCGTAATGAGTGATCTCGATCATTTCTCATATACCACCGTCCCGAGCGTAGCGAAGCTCAACAAGCCAGCCTTAATCATCCATGGAGACAACTGTATGAATGCACCCGCAGCCAAGAGACATTTCGAATCCATTCCGGCCACAAACAAAAAACTGATCTGGAACAACGATGTCTCCCACTTTCAGCATTACGACCAGCCTGATGTGGTCGATAGAAATGTGGGCGATATTGCAAATTTTTTTGCTGGTGTTTAAGCCCGTGATATTTACCGTAGCAGAGTCTCGGCTCGCAAATTAGAAGTCTGAATACGACGAAATTGGAAAGTGGTTGTAGTAAGCTGTATCTCTGAAGGCAACTGATATCTTTTCTCTCTTACTGTTGACTGAAGTCGTTCATGCAGCTCCAAAAGCTGTTTACAGGGTAAAGGCCACCGAATTCTGCACTCCCCAATAAAAGGTCGGGGGCCTGGTAGGCTTCCTGTATATGTGGTCCGTATATATTTTGATAGAATAGATCATGTATTGGCTGAGGAGGCAATAGAGTGTCAAAGTCAAAGTCGTGAGGATTGACCGCCCCTAATTCCGTTCGCTGGAAAACAGGTAACAATGGTTCGGCATCGATGTTGCCCGCTGTGGGATCTCCGTTCAAACGCGTTCTGGCGTTATAAAGATCCGCTGTCCCAGTATCTGAGCATTCTCCGCCTGTGTTCGTGTTGCTCGAGTGCTGATTAACTTGCTCACCGGATTGATGCAGCTGGGAAAATAGCTTCTTCACAATGCCCTGTGCCGACCGAGCCATGGCGTTATGTTCACCTATCTTGCCAAGCACATCAATGGCCCAGTGCACATCTTGGACCAGGTCCGAGAGAATATCGAGATTTTCATTCGGAAATAGTTTGACAGTGGCCAGTGAAATGACCATCGCGTCAAACAACGGATATACCATATTGAATGAGATGTACTGCTGCGCTTTTGACAAACGAAACAATCGTCTCTGAACGGTGCAGATCTTCAGTGACGCCTTGAGTGCCTCCGTCCGACTTTCAGCCATAGTGAATATGTAAGGGCGATGTAGTGAGAGCAAAACAAAATAAATCCCACTCGTCAATGCCTGGCGTGCCGCTGGTAACCAGTGACAGCTTGTTAATTTGTCAAAGTGTATATCAGGGTCTTCATGGCGACACCAAAGTGGTAGACGGTCCATGTTCTCCATGATGGCGGCATGCGTCTCGCAAACAATATTGTAGTCTTCTATCCTTGCTCCACGGCTCTCAATAGCATGGACTCGTGGAAAATATCGATAAGCCACGTTGTAGCCCACATATATAACACTAAATGGGGTAGGAGGGTCTTTTTCTGTTCTCTTCCTCGGCGGCGTTTCACTCTCTCGTTGTGCGAGGTCTTCAAGAAGATAAGTTGAGTTTCCAGCAGTCATAATTGTGGCAATAGGTCTCCCTAGCACAACAGCCATGTGAATGTCCCAATTGTGTAGCACAAACCAAAGCTTGCGTCTCGTCTCTTTGTCCCACTGGGCATCAATACTTACCGGCGGGCTCAGTGAGATTGATTCCGCATGGAGCCCTATTTCCTGCGCGTCCCGAATAGCGAGCCCGAGAACATGCCAGGCCTCGATGACCTTTCCAGTGTTCTTCAATAAAGATGCACGTAGGATCTCTGCCTGCACAGCCACGACTGTCATTTCGTTTTTGGGTATGCTTTCCAGGGTTGCCAAGCCAGCTTCGGAGAAGTCACCGGCCAGATCGGCGAATGTCATCTCTGAAGCGTATTTCAAAGATTCAAGGCCTGAACAACTTCCATCGGTAATAGGTTGATGTATCAGAGCATGAGCAATAAGCTGAAAAAGAAGGGAAGGGAATGCGAGGATTTCGGTCGGTAGGCCACTCATCGCATTATTATAAGCCGAGTAAGGAATGCGTCTCCAAGCCTCAAGTTGCTGACGGAAAGTGATCTCGTCGATTACGTCGTAGTGCCAATTGATATCTGAGAAAAATTGCCGGACAAGGATGTCGATGTGCTCCTTTGATGGTAGCTGACGGACCAGGGATCGGTATTTGTTGTCCGGAGCTATAAGGTTGCTATTCAAGGAAGGAAGAGGACTCGAAGTGGATAAAGAGGCAACGCCCATCTTTTTGACGAAGCTGAGGGTATTGTGGTCACTGTGAGTGGAATAGCCCAAGATACTGACGAAGTCCTGGTAGTCTTGCCGGCATAACGGATTCGTTTCTATCAGCGACGACGAATGGGTTGACGCCGTTGAAGGTTCAATTCTGCCTTCATCAAAGCCGGGTGTATTTGCACTCGAGACGACGGATTGCAAATGTCTGCTGCCATCTATTTCGTAGCAGCAAAGCACCTATGGCCAGTTCATGAGATCATGGTGGGCACACTGCCAATGGAGCCCTACCGGCTTCGAACGTTTCATACAGTTCTGACAAGGTTGGAGACGGTCACACTATTTTTGAAAATTAGTGCCTTTCAAATTCACATCATCATTGAGCGGTGGGTTAGGCAGATTGTTGCAGAGGAATTCATGAAGTGGCGCTTCAGCTCGATACTGACCTTTTGTTTGCGCCGATGGCACTCCGTGCAGGATCTCAAAGTACGGTGTCTCTTTCGGTAAGATTGACGATCAAGTGTCGCTGCTCCATTTTCCAGTGTGTCCATGAGGCGTAACGTATTGTAGTTCTAAGTACAACTAGTGAGGAATGCAAGTCACAAGCTTAGGGGTCGTGTAGGGATTCAGACGGCGTGGTCGGAAGTGAGTTTAAAATAGTTCCAAGCAAAACTGTGAATCTTGGCATCGGGGAAGGCTCCTCCAAAAGCGGCGGTAATTTCTCTGGAAACAGCTTAGATCAACCGACTGGCATCATACACTGCTCTAAAATTAAGAATCATCGAGGCTTGACAAGGTGTTCAAGAACAGCAACTGGACGTGCTCACATCTTCGCAAAATAGGGCAAGCTGTCTCTGAGCGCTAGGAGGAGCTCAACAATGCGGTCATCCTCTGATCAACAACGAGCCGAATACCCGACATTTATTCTTGCATTCACGAAGCACCAAGCATTACAGTCCAAGTACATGACAAAGAGTTGTACCGTTTGCATATTTAGTGATCTATATCTCTAAGCCATAGAGCCAACATACCTTCACCATTTTAGGAAATTCAAGTTCTTTGCTAGCCCAATAGAAGACACACCGACGGGCGCGGAGATTGTCAGCAAGGTCATTACACAATGTGACTGCGAAGATACGTTGATGACGTCTCGAAAGAAGTGTTCTTGAAAAGCGCTGGCGTGGGGGGCATGGGTACATTTCCATGGTCACGTCGTGTCAGAAGACTATCCTCTCAATCAAGCCTTACTCTTCCATCGTGATGAGACATTAACTGCACGCGAAGTTTTAAAATGGACTTGTCGAGTAAGTGCTCAGTCATACTCCTCATCGGCTGCGGATCAGGAGTTGAGAGGATAGACCCAGAAGACGAGCCGCTTGGCCTTGCGTCCGGCTTACTATTCGCAGGTGCGTCCTTTGTGATTGCTACCATATGGCCCACTCATGACCGGCTGTCGGGTGCGGAGCTTAGTGAGCACTCTTATGGTATTCATCGGGATGAGCCTTTCAAAGTTGTAGAACCTATTAATCTAGCAGGTCGTACTATCAGCAGTAAGCAGAACCCACAAACTCAAAGCGCCGTACTTTTGCGTTGGGTTTGTCTTATATAGACAATGGGCTTCAGATATGGCAAATGGCTTGTTTGACGTTTGCCAATTACATGCTTTTGTACGTATTGAAATAGGAGCCAGGGTTGCTCCGAACATGTCTTCGAAAGGGCGTGATGTAAGTTGATGACCATTCCCTGCATACAGCCGATATTTCCGCCGAGTTCGACCGAACCAATAATAGAATCTTCTCTCTCTCAGCCCGTGGAGGTGGTCAATCATTCATAGCTAAATGAGGGTCCTTCAAGGGTGTTCTGAAGTATTTGTTTACAGGTGTGATAGCGGTATCTGAACAGAGCAAGCTTGGACTTTTGGTGATTGCTAGTGTACGTAGGCTTGAAATCTGTACTACATTGCTCAAGGCACATAGTGTCTATATAAACTGTCCGCAGTTCCCAGTCCTCAAACGGCACAGCAATTAGAATTCGTTTTCCACAAACATGCCACGTACGGTACTGATCACGGGTTGCTCTGATGGCGGGATGGGGGCACACCTTGCCCACGAATTTCATAAAAGAGGCGATCGAGTGTTTGCAACGGCACGAAATCCTTCCAAAATGGAATCCTTGAAAGCCCTAGGTATCGAGGCTATCACTCTCGATGTGGTATCTGAAGAGTCTATACAAACCTGCTTTAGCCAAGTCTCATCATTGACAGATGGGTCGCTCGACATACTGGTCAACAACGCCGGCCAAGGTTACTGTATGCCCCTTACAGACGTTTCAATCGCAGAGGCTAAAAAGGTGTTCGACCTCAACTTCTGGTCAATCTTGCGCACGACGCAAGTTTTTCTCCCTCTGCTTCTGAAAGCGGCCCGCAGCCAGGGAAGGGCTCTGCTTGTTAATCAGACATCCGTGAGCAGTGTCCTCGGCAGTCCCTTCTTTGGGGTATACAACACTTCGAAAGCCGCTGCTGCCATGCTCATCCAAAATCTCAGACTGGAGTTGGACCCGTTTGGCATTCAAGTTATTGACTTGAAAACAGGCGGAGTTAGAACAAACATTCACGACAATGATTCCGAATGCCATTTGCCACCCGACTCACTTTTCATGGCTGTGCAAGACGAAATTGGAAAGCTTTCCAAAGGCGACATAGGGATGGACAGCCAGGATGCACGAGTGTGGGCCAAGAATGTAGTGGGCGATCTGGACAAGAACAACCCACCTCACATCATCTGGCGAGGCAAATCTGCTTCCCAGATCAAGATGGCCTCGAAACTTCCTGTTGGCATGTTAGATTCTACGCTCAAGAAAGTCGCTAAATTGGATGTTCTGGAACAGAAGCTGAAACACTAGCGAGGGCTTCATCGTGTCTGTGGACTCGAATGATGCCACTAGACTGAGGGGCCAGGGTATAGGCAGTAAAGCTCGTGCCAAATGACCAGTGCTGGCTGCGTCATTTTGCAAGAGGTGGTTCGCATTGCAGGAGTGGGTAAATCAAGGCAATGATTGCACCGAGAGCAGTCTTAGCTTTAAGAACCCCGTTGTGCTTTCTTTTCTGCCTACGGAGCCCATGCTGGGTTGTGTGAGCACGGCGAGACGAGGAGTAGCGATACCCAGAGTGTGGCATCATTGGTGACATTGGCACGGCTGTCCGCGGCGACTTGAGCGACGTATCTCTAAGGAAAGCTGAGCAGAGTCAGCTCTTAAAATGTGACAAATTGGGGCTACAGTACTCAGCCCATGTCCCGAGTAAGATGTAGATGTTTGTGGACCGTCAGTCGTCTTGCTGTCCCGTTCAAGAAACGACACCGTGCTAGCTGCATAGTCGCCGACGTTGATGAATTAGTCTAACGCTTGAGGTACTTGTGGATATCATGTTAGAGTTAGTAGATAGTCCCAAAAAGATTGGCTGAGCTAGTCTACCCGTCCTGTAATCCTTCTCGCTCTCCGGACGGACGTGATATGGGAGATCTGGGTCCAATATTGACTCATATCGCGGAATGAAAGCACCGGATAGTATCGAACTGATGGCAGAATTAGGAGGAATGTCGTGAGGAGCATATTATCGGTCTTACGATTTTGTCTGTCCATGGTCACGCACGCGTAGCTGGTGCTGCGTTGGGGCCAATCTGCAGGGGTAATGAAAATGGTGACATTGTTGGAGTTCGGTCCCGGTAGCCCAGAAGGCGGTGATGGAGTACTTGAAGGAGAAAAAGGCTGTGCTGGTCAGCATGCCAATAAAGGGTCCTCCCATGGCATCGCCGAGGCAAGAGAGAGAAGAGAGAAAATAAGTGGAAAGAGCACGATGTCAATTCCAGGCAGAAGAGAAGTTTGTTGTGGTAGAGAGAAGCTCCACCGACCAAGGCGGAATTTTCCCGGTGTGGGTTGGATGTTATGTAACCAGACATCACGCCCTTCCAATGACACGGGTTGTTCTAAGTTATCTGGCTGTGCCCGTTCAAGATCATGAACAGACTCGTCACATTTCCTGCCTGTGAATATGGCGTCGTCCACGGTGCTTCTCGAACTTGGTAGTGGCCCAGATACTGCGCAAATCGGGGCGGACGTTGAGCCAACTGACACTAGCTACTTGCCGCCCGTGGACAGCGGAAGAGCGGCTTGGCTCTTTCTCGCTGGTAGCTTCTGCGTTGAAACGCTCATCTGGGGTAAGTCTTCAACTTGCATCTGCGACAGCTAGATTTCTAACGTCAGGGATGAGGATTCCCCTTCTCGTTCGGTGTGCTTCAGGACTACTATTCCACTCATCCGCCGTTTTCATACAATGCCTCGGGTATTTCTGCGGTCGGCACCACTTGCTCAGTCAGTGCGTCTACTTCTCATTCTCAGCTGTTTCACTGACTTCTGGCAAGGGCTTGTTATACCTCGGGGCGCCTCCCGTGTTTCTTGCTTTCCAAAAATGGCCCAAATTTCTCCACCGAAGCTTGATCATTGGTCTTCCCATCGTGGTACTGGCAGTCTTTCTTTCCAGCTTCGCCACGGCGACCTGGCATTTAATATTGACTCAGGGCATCTTATACGCTATCGGTGGAAACTTCTTGTACTACCCAATATACGTCTTCATCGACGAGTGGTTTGTCCGCCGTAAGGGGCTGGCATATGGCGTTATGTGGGCTGGCTCAGGCTGCGGTGGTCTAGCTGGCCCACTAGTCCTCAACTGGGGACTAAAAAACTACGGTGCTGAGACCTTCCTGCGAGGATGGGCCGTGGCTTTGGTAAGTCTACCAGTATTTCATCGTGTCTGTCGCTGATAGCCAATAAGTTGCTGCTGGTGGCCCCATTCCTGCTCTTTATCAAAGCCCGGCTCCCTCTTTCACGGCATCACCAAGTCCCTGTTCGGACCATTGCAGCTGGCTTCGGATTCCTAAAGACCAAACAGTTTTGGGCTATCGAGACGTGTAACATTATCCAAGGTCTTGGCTACTTTATTCCAGCACTCTATCTTCCTAGTAAGCGAGTCTACGTGTCGTTCACAAGAGCAAGCTCTAACGCGAATCATCCCAGCCTATGCCAGACTCAACAATTCGGATTTGGGATCATTTCTGGTCTCTTTACTCAATATAGCCCAGGTGCCTGGTGTCATGTTTCTCTCCATGCTCTCTGATCGGGTTTCCGTATATACCATCCTGCTCATCTCCTCTCTTGGATCCACATTGTCGGTCTTTTTGCTCTGGGGTCTCTCTGGATCTTCCACTGGCCTCCTGGTCGCTTTTGCACTCTGTTATGGCGCGTTCGCAGGAGGATTCACCGCTGTCTACGCGGGAGCGGCGAAAGAGCTCCGGCGGGTAACTCCTGGCGGAGAGACAGGCCGGGCTGATCTAGGCAGTATGCTGGGACTACTGGGAGGTGGTAGAGGCATCGGCAACGTCGCATGTGGACCAGTCAGCGAAGCACTTCTGCGTCACCGTACCGGCTGGAAGGAGGTAGCTGGAGGTTACTATGGGAGCTTCGGACCTCTGATTATCTTTGCAGGCACGACCGCGGCCCTGACCATGTCAGCGTGGCTTGCCAAAGTTACCAAGTTGCTCTGAATGTGGAGTCTGGGGTAGGTACTGGCGGTGTGGGCGTCCTGAAAAGGAAGCCTATAGAGGCGGGAGGCGCTTAAATTTGGTCGTGGCCGCCCAAGGTCGCTACGATTGCTGGTTTGGGACATGCTCAATTCTCTTCCAGCATCCGTTGGCCAATCTCACGCTGAATGCTACATGGAGGCTGCGTACTCGTCATAGTAGAGACCGAGTTGGTGAGCAAAACAGATCATCGGGACTGGGAGGTTCAATATGTGCTTCTCAACTAGGGCTCACACTACAGCTAGGGAGCTTGCTTCACAGGTTGGAGATTGCCCCATTCTCAGCAGAATGCATGTCTGCGCATCGCGTGCGGGCACATCCAGCGTGCAGACCCAAGAACCCGATTCAGGCTTCTGTCCTAGCTTCTCGCCATATTTAGAAGCGCAAGGAATTCCGTCCTGGGCATTGTCGGCATGGATGAACGGCAAGCAGACGAGACCCCAACGAGGCAACGGGATAACCTGGAACGCAACACCTAACAAATAGGTTTGGTGTGGAGCCGTACGGACAGGAGGAAGTAGGCTGCTTCATCTCTGAAGCGCCATTCCGACCGCTGCTTCAGCATGTAGTCGAAGCGTATCAAACACTGGCAACGATGGCCGATCGTCTTGATGGATGAGTAGTGGGATTTCAGTACAGCCCAGTACCACCCCTTCCGCGCCTCGGGACGACAAGTCATCGATGATGCGAAGGTATGCTTGCTGCGATGTTTCCCTGAACACAAAGCACGCCAGTTCCTCAAAGATGATGCGGTCAATGATATCCTGCTGCTCCATATCCGGAACAATGACGTCGATTCCAAATTTTGTGTGATAGCGATCGCACAGAAACGAAGAGGACATGGTTGCCTTTGTGCCCAGAAGGGCCACCTTGCTCAGGTTGGCCGCCTTGATGGCTTCGGCAGTGGGATCGACGATATGTAGAAGTGGGATAGTGAGCCCGAGCATGAAAGTCGCTGCTGCGCGATGCCACGTGTTAGAGACGCAAAGCAGCATTTCCGCCCCTGCTCTCTCCAGGGATTGAGCCATCCCGTTCAGCATTTCGCCGCCCTCTTCCCAAAGATTGTTCTGCACAAGATGCGCGCTGTCCGCGAAGTCCATCGAATTGATGATGATCTTGGCCGTGTGAAGGCCACCCAGACGTTCACGTGCTTTAGCATTGATCAGCTTGTAGTACTCGACCGTGGCCAAGTCCGTGCTACCGCCGATAATACCAATGGTCTTCATCTTTATGATTGTTGATTCCACTATTGGATCCTAACGACAACCAGATGACTGCAATCTATTCGAACATTTCAACCAAAGGTAGAAGATTCTACGAGTTTTTCATTCATTCTTTGTAAAATGGGGCATAGGCATTACAACAGTTGAAGACTCCCACGCCTTTTGACGAGACTTGGCTCGGCTGTTTGCTGGAAATGTAAGTCAGCAGTGACTCACATTTAAGTACGTGAGCGGGACTCGAACACTGCAAGCTTTGGCAGTATATCGTAGCGCTCGTGCTAGGCTTCCGATGTGATGCACGAATCCAAAAGAGAAGAGGTCTGTTCTCTTCCTGTTCAGCCACAAGTCTCGATTTTCAGTAGGACGGTGCGATCTCTTGATCGGTTCCGGAACATGATACAAGAGAGTTCACCTAATGTATCCTTTTGTGCATGCCCGCCAAGTTCGGAACACTAAGACATGTTACTACGCATACAGCCACGCGACAGTCTCTCGTCTAGACAGCGTCGCTTTCACTTCGGCTGTGATTCCCCTTCCCAGTCCACGGGTGCATATCGTTTCCCGTCCTTCCCATGGTGCGGCTTCAGAGGATGCAATATCCGTACAGCATCCAACGCCGTTCCACTTCTTCTTTTGTACCCCCGACCATGTACCCTGGCGGGTATGCTTGCCCACTTCGCATCCCACAGTGGTGACAATGCGCGGCACATGGCAATTTAATGTCCCCATGGGGCCCGAAAGTCGCTTACCTTTCTCCCCTGCTTCCAAATGTCGTCGCATCATACTAAAGAGCAAATGGAATTTTCGGTAGCAGTTGGGCTAGACGAAGTATTCGTGCCACCACCCCGCTTTGGCCCAGTGCTGATTGTTTTGCAGATTGCACAACACAACAGCGATGTCCTGCTGACCGTAATAATGCGGAACGATAAAAGCCTTGACACTAACATCAAGCTTGCCAACGACCGCAAAGTACGTGTCCAAGGCTCCTACCACGGCTGTAGATGTGCAAACGAACGCTGATGACTATTACTGACAACCGTTGCTTTCTGGACAATATTGGTCCCCATGACCAGCAGCTCGCCACTGATAGGCTTGTAGCTGTCAATGGGGTATGCAATCCCAATGGTAGGCAGGATGGTGGTACCTTTACCCGCACCGCCGTAGCCCCTGATGACGATGCTGGGTCAGGACCATTCGAAACGAATGGCCGCCAGACCGAGGCAGACCCCGATGATCATGACGGCCGCAAATGGGCCCAGAGCAGGAAGCCGCATTTCTGCCTCGCGGATGCCGCCGTCTCGAACTGTCGCTGTTTTGATCACCCAATCAGACAGAGTGCCGTGGCTAGCATGCCAATCAGAGCGCTGATTGCAAAAGCGGAACTCGTGTAGCCGGCCTGATCAGCGGTCATGGCATATGGAGAGACTTCGAGGATGAAGTCTAGAGAATCAAGCATCATTATCATGACCACGAGCGACAAAAGGTGTAGAGCGTGTATCGCCCTGGAGTGGCATAGCCCCGATGGAACTTACCGATTCTGTGAAATTAAACATCAACGACATGTCGGCGGCACCCATGAGGCACATGCTTGCCCAGAAGATGATAGGGTAGACGCCGATCCTAAAGGTGCAAAGAAGTCACAGTGGAGAAAGGCTTTCCATCGCGTGTCGGGCTATTGAAAGGGTAAGAAGAGTCGCCATGTAGGCCGGCCACGTCCTACCAACTCTAAGAGAACATCAGTAGACTCGACCCGGGTCGGCTGGGTGACCTTGGCTTCAGGGTCCGCCGCCACGGCTTGGGAGGATGACTATTCGGCCACGACTTCAGCAGCTCTGTGGTACATGGTCTCGGGAAGCAGGCGAGGTTGAGGAGCGTGATGAATCCGGATCGGCCGAGGGAGAGCCAGAAGAAGCTCCTCCATCCGTGCCGTTTGCCCATGGCACCAGCAATGACGGGGCCAATAAAGGTTCTGAAGAAAGCGGCCGCGCCATCGAAAAACCAACCCAAATACCTCGTTCGTGCAAGAAGAACAAGTCGGCCACGACTTGCACGGCTATCGTCTCGCTCGGCGACGCTCCAAACTCCACCAGCACTCTTGCGCCCAAAAAGCTGCCGTAGGACTAAGCGAGCCCTTGCCAAAGCGTGGAGGCCAGGAAAATCACAGCGGAGCAGCCCGACGTCTGAAGATGTCAAGATTGAGATTCGGTCCATTAATGACCAGTATGTGTTTTTGAGACATTTTCTCACAGTTGAAAAAGTTTCTGGCTGAAGCCCGATCTCGTGTGGAACGAATTCTCAAAAAGAAACTGATGTTCTCAGCTTGTTGTGCGACTGACAACAGAACTGGTGCTGGTTTCGCACCAATGCTGGCGATGGTGAGTAGTGCCAAAAAGGTTTCAAATGCCCTTCTTGGGGACTGGGGACCAGCCACTAGTCGTAATTGGGAATGCCCGCGTCGAGAAATTCCTACTTTACGGATACTAGGTCGACGGCGAACCCGGGGTTGAACTTAGCCGCGGGGAAGGTGACAGCAGTTAAGGAGTAGAGCATCCATAGACGCGAATTCCACTACCTTCCACCACCGGCTAAGTCAGTTACCGATGCTCGTGTAGCTGGTGCCACTGCCCCGGGTCTCCAAACGTTCTCCGCTTTTTGACTTGCTAGGGGGTCTTCCTGAGGGGTTGATGTTTTACGTCCAGCAACCTGCAAGGCACGATGTTTAATCTCAATGAGGCGGAGGCATGCCGGGCCAAGTTCTCTGCCCTAGAATCTTTTCCTTTCCGTCGTCAGTACGTCCAAATCACATCACCGACTCCGAAAATCAACATGTCCTGCAAGCCAGAGGATTGCTTCAATTTCGCTGGGTCGTACCTGAGTTCATGATATCGGCAAGAAGCTACAGCAAGCATCAGATACAGGGTTCAAAGGAGTTGAAATCTTCTACGAAGCTCTCAAGTATCGAGTCAAAAACTACGGCGACAGCAGTGAAGGATATTTATTGCTGGAAGCCGACGAGATATGCGACCTCTTCCAATCCTCAAAGCCATCAATCGTAGGACTGCACTCATTCTATTACAAAGGCTTGACTAACCTAGCTGAGGATCACACCAGAATTGAAAATTGATAATGTGGTTCAAGATCGCTCATTGCGTGGAAACCGACGTGCCTTAAGTATCATCCAACTTTATGCTTGCAGGTCGAGAAATTGAAAGAGATGTGGATCGACCCGTACGAGCTATGGTCGAAGTTGCAAATCTGTGACTGCAAAAAGAGCCTCCAATGCGATTGAGACACGAATACTTGGCCGGGGAAAATATGTCAATAGGTGAAGGAAGCTATGGGAAATTTTTTCTGGTGTGAACCGACCTAGCTTCGGCCCCTATTTGGATGGCTAAAACCATTGCCGCATGAGTATGGACGGATGCAAAAACCGCGTCAGGGACTGTTGCGCACGATGCTGATTCCGAACTTAACATAGCCTTGATCGCTTGGTGAGAACTATTGATCTGGCCAAGGTGTTCTATCTGTAGGCTTCTGATGGGGGACGGCTCGACCAACCTCTCGTAAAACACCATCCCTGGCACGTGCACAAATAACCAGCAAGAATGAGCAGGAGCAGGAATGCTCGGTTATCTCTATAGGGACAGGAAGAAGGTGACCATCTGCCTGTAGTTGAGGTCACGAGACGATTTGTTAAGGATCTCGATTTCAGCGGCTGGGTGTCCATGAAACCTTTCCCCCGGACCATTGCTGAGCCAGACTCTTCCGTTCTTCGTATGCGCATACATAGCGAGGTTGTATCAGTTGGAAACAGCTCAACAGGAATTGGACCTTTAATCAGGAGACATGCTCTCTCTCTCTGATTTGTGGGCACAGTCGCTCTTTAGCGCGTGTACAACGATGGCATAATTATATGGTCCTGGTCTATACGAGTGTGTTTCTCTAAAAACCCAGCCCAGACAGGAATGTGAACAACATATAGAGGATCTGTACCATACATGAATACGTCTGACCAGTAGCAGGCTTACCTGGAAATACTGGCAGTGAAGCAATGTGGGAGTCTGGCCAGTCTGCGTGTGAAAACGCCCATTTTAGGTGGCTAAATTCTCGAGGTAGCTCTCGTACTTGATAGCGATCGCCGACCTCTGTAGTCCTGCGCATTTTGGGACCCTAATGCCACGTGTCGCTACGCCGCAAATTAACATGCGGTGTACTCAAAGGGCAAAGATCTCACGGGGTCTCCGCATCGTATAAGGCGGGATACCCGGCTATAAGCCTAACCGCACACCAACCCTGCCCTTCTGGGAAGGCCAACCTCGTAGGTACTTAAAAACTTTAGATCTCCAAGTCTTGATGTTTTCACTATACTTACCATCCAGACCTCGATTTCATACCCCTCTCGTCACATTGACGATAACACCGCGCTCTACTGACCTCCAACGGGCCATAGCGTCAGGAGTTTTCTTGCCTTAAAGCGACAATGGGAGGCAACTTTTTACGCAAGGTCGAAGATCGACCTACACCCCCGGAAGTATATAACTTCAAGGTCTATTTCGTCGCCGCCGTGGCCTCCGCAGGGGCAGCAACCATTGGCTATGACAGCGCCTTCATCGGAGGCACGATGGCTCTCACATCGTTCCGAGACGATCTTGGCTTCAACGACCTGAGCAAAAGTCAAGTCAACCTCATCAGCGCCAATATCGTCTCTTGCTATCAGGCAGGAGCTTTTTTCGGGGCGTTCTTTGCTTACCCGTTCGCTCACTTCCTGGGTCGACGGCTGAGTCTCATCTCGTTTTCGTTAATCTTCTTGCTTGGGGCTAGCGTCATGCTGGGCACAAAGACGGGCAGTGGCCTGGGTTATTTATACGGCGGCCGCGTTGTTGCGGGACTTGGAATAGGTGGTATTTCGAACATAATTCCCATTTACCTGGCTGAAATCTCACCCCCTGCCATTCGAGGCCGCCTGGTCGGTATGTGGGAAATCGGATGGCAGTGCGGAGGATTGATTGGTTTCTGGATCAATGTACGTTTGTCTCATTCTGCCATCCCTTATCCCATTTCCCTGTCTGACCTGGGCGACAGTACGGCCTTACTCAGCATGTGGCGCCCTCACGAACACAGTGGCTTACTCCGTTTGCCGTTCAACTCATCCCCGGCGGGCTGCTCGCCATAGGTGCTTTCTTCCTTCCCGAGACCCCTCGATGGCTTCTTGCCGCTGGAAAGCGCACCCAGGGTATACGATCGCTATGCTTCCTGCGCAACCTCCCTGCGGATCATCCATACCTACTCAGGGAGGTACAAATGATTGATGAGGCCGTGGAACACCTGAAGAGGACCATCGGCGTCCACTTTACCGCCCCCTTCAAAGAGGTGTATACGAGTAAGAAAATTGCCTATCGATTCTTCCTTGGTGGAGCTTTGTTTTTCTGGCAGAATGGATCTGGCATCAACGCCATCAACTATTACAGCCCCACGGTCTTCAAGAGCATCGGCATTACTGGCACCAGCACCAGTCTCTTGACGACGGGCATCTTTGGTGTCATCAAAACAGTGATGACCTTTGTTTGGATCATGGTGATGATTGACCAATTCGGCCGCCGGAAATTACTCATGTTCGGCGCTCTCGGTGGCTCAATCGCCCTCTGGGTCGTGGGTGGATATATCGCCGTTGCCAAACCTGCGGATCATCCTTCATCAACCTTGTCATCTGGCGGCATCATGGCAATGGCCTTCTTCTACATCTATACCATCTGCTATACACCATCTTGGAGTGGTACACCTTGGGTTCTCAACAGTGAGATGTTCGACCAGAACGTCCGTACCCTGGCTCAAGCCTTTGCTGCCGCCAACAATTGGTTTTGGAACTTCCTTGTGGCGCGCTTCACTCCGCAGATGTTTGCCACCATGGGCTTCGGCATTTGGTTCTTCTTTGCGAGTCTACAACTGCTGTCGATCCCCTTTGTGTATTTCTTGATCCCCGAGACCAAGTCTGTCCCGCTCGAAAGCATGGACCTGTTATTCGATAAGAGCCTTTCGCCTCGGAAAGCGCACAAACAAGTGATGCTCCAACTGCAGGAAGCGGGCGAACAAATGCAACTAGAACTTGCTCGCGGCGCAGAAGACAAGGGTGAAGCGGTACAGGCGGAGCAAATCTCCGTGAAACAAGAGGTTGTCTAAAAATCGCGAATGTTTTCCCCGGAAACGATGAGGCTGGACATTCTACGTTCCTAGTTCAAACGCAGACACTGCGGAGGAGATCTGAACAGCCAGCTACTGTTTTCCTTGTGTGCGAGTCAAATATGCCGAGCCAAATAGGATCTGGGTTCTCGGGCAGATGTGCACTCCGAGACTTGGCCCTTTCATTTACAGAAGTGCTGGAGCTCCCAAGGTCTCAAATTCAAGATAATCTGCTGGTGTCATCCTCTATGCTCCTTGTATGTTCTATAGTTCTCTCATAAGCCTGCGCATTGATTACAACGCAAAGACTGCCTTGGATCGGCAGAGTTTTCATTTATTATCTCTTCATAAGGCTTCAATTCGTATCTTCGAGTGTGCATAGGTCAGTTAAGGTGGCAAACCTATTCGAAAGATGTCTTTGTCCTCGAGGCCGTTCCTGGGTGGAAAGTATTGCTTCGAGGCCATCTTCTTGTTTACCTTAGTTAGAGTAGCCAGTCGGAGGCGAGTCCGTGTTTCCACCCAGGGCTGTGGAGAGAAGGGTATAAATTCAGCCGCTTTCCGATTCAGCCACTTCCGGGTCGCTTTCCTGTGGCAAATCGGGGCTACCAAGATGTATGAAGGTCGCGATATGCGAACACGTGATGGTACCCTATTGTATGGCTTGGTACGCCTAGAACTATATAGTTGGCAACCCCTTCCGAAGTAGTTTGAATCCATCAAATCCTCCGTGAACAAGCACATTAGCGCACCCTTCTTGTTCCAATCCTTCAATTTGCATAGACTGTACAAACCAGTGCTTCAATTTCCGATATTTTAAGCTATCACGTTCATGGCTGGGCCGACGAAGATCGCTGTCATAGGTGCCGGCCTAATTGGACCTAGGCACGCAGAGACCGTGGCGGTAGACCCCTGCGCTGTTCTCTTTGCCATTGTCGACCTCGCGCCAGCAGGAGCGGAGCTGGCCAAGAGGCTGAAGGTGCCTTACTATAAAAGCATCGCAGAACTTCTCGAAGGCCCTGAGAAGCCAGATGGCGCGATCATCTGCACTCCCAACCATACACACGTTGCCGTCGGCTTGCAATTGGTGCAGGCTGGCGTCAACATTCTAGTCGAAAAGCCCGTGAGCACGGACATCAAGAGTGGCGCTGAACTTGTGCGGACTGCAGAAAGGTTGGGCGTGCAAGTGCTTGTGGGACATCACCGCCGATTCAATTCATACATACAAGCTACTAAGCATGCGCTCAATGCTGGCAAAATCGGAGATCCAGTGGCAATAAACGGCATCTGGGCAACGTACAAACCGATCGACTACTTCGACAGTCCTGCAGAATGGAGGAGGACCCAGACTGGGGGTGTGGTACTGATCAATCTGATTCATGAGATAGACCTCATGCACTACCTCCTAGGCCCCATAACGAAAGTGTACGCCGAGCCCACTCCTTCGCGGAGAGGCTTTGACGCCGAAGAAGGTTTCGCCATGACCCTGAGATTCAAATCAGGCGCGGTGGGCTCATTTTTGGTCTCCGACAATGCGCCTTCTCCGCACAATTTCGAGGCAGGGACCGGCGAGAATCCTCTTATTCCAAGAACAGGAAAGGACTTTTATCGTCTCTTAGGGTCGGAGGGGACCCTGAGTGTGCCAGATATGACCATAACGTCCTACCGCGGCAGCACCGCCAAGTCCTGGCACGCCCCGATGATTACAGAAGCCTTCGACGTGGACATGAAGATCCCTTTTGCTCTCCAGCTTGAGCACTTTATTAAGGTCATCAAAGGCCAGGAGCAAGCAAGCTGTAGCGGTGCTGAGGGTTTAGCGGCCTTGGTCGTTTGCAACGCCATCAAGGACTCGTTACAGACAGGACAGCCAGTCATGATTGAGCCTTCAACATATGGGTCATAGATCAACCGCGTGTGTTCAAGGCGTAGAGCTCGAGATGTTGTAGAACTCCCAGACAAGAATGCACAGAATTTGCTTTCTTGGCGGCACTGAAAGTCGAGACATATTTAGCGTTTTGGTTTAGTTGCGATGGATCCGAATCATCGCAGTTGAGCTCCAATCCTCGACACCTCATGCATTTAGGACGACATTCATCACGTTTGCCATGATGTCTCTTGCATTCGGCACAATCATTTCTAGACTTGAGGTGTGCCCTGCGGATCTTAATGATCGGAAGTATGATTAGCGTGTATGTTGGCAAGGCCGATATAGAGTGCTATTTTGATAATTTAGTAGTATGCCTTTCGAGTGGTAGTGGCGCTGGTGCCGACAGAAAGAATTGTTGAATTGGTCAAAGTATGGACGTTGTATTTGTGCAGCGCGGAACAATGTACGGAGTAAGTCCGAAACCCACGAAACGCCAAGCTAGCGCGTGCTGCGAACTCATCGTTATAAGTGAAACCGAAAGCCTCCATCGCGTCCTCTCAATGGAATTCTTTCCCTTGCGCTGGAGCATGCGCTGGCACTGGCGCTTAAGATCATTTCTTCCTGCCACATAACTCGACTCTTCTTACTCCAGTCAACATGCCTTCGAACGGACACTTGAGAACACGCAAATGTCTGCAACACGTACGTTTCGCGATCTCCCTCGACTCCCTTCCATACCCGCCAATACTGATGGCTTGAAGAGAATTGGTTTGCGGGCCTTAAGAGTAGGAGGGTCACTGCCTCCAGCAAGACCTCATTAAGACAAGCACCGCGCTCACTTGACGGGTCAATCCTCGATCCCACTTCGGCTGAAAGGTTTGGAAGGACTACCCGATCTTCTATCAAAAACATTCCGGCGCCGCTGATATCCTCAATCAATACACAAACCGCTGAATCACAGCCACTCGATTCTGTCCAACTGGCTGCGACAACGACTGGGGAACCAACGCAGGCTCCGCAACGCACACCAGGAAAACGGAAACGCAAATTCAAATGAAAGGAACCGAACAAGCGACAGTGGGAAGGCGGTTCACAATCTGTGGCGGAGTTGACTTCGTCTAAGGATCTTCTCAATTGGAAGAATTTGGAAAGACTCAACAGCGAGACAGCATTGGAGGCATCTGATGGAATGGCAGAAAAGAAGAGGACACTCTCGCGTCGATCGAGCATTGCAGAGACGAATCACGATGCAGCATCCGTATCCTCGCAGAAAACATCTCTCTCGCTTTCTGATTATCGCTTAAACTCATTGGACCGTGCCAGGATCGTCTTTCAGCACCGATGTCTCCCAGAACACCTCAAGCACAGGGTTGACGCCATCATCCAGCCTAAGCTCGACAAAGAAAAAGAAACCCTCGTTTTCGCTATCGCGGATGACTTATGCGACGATTTTCCCGACGTTTTGGAAGTAGCGAGTAGAGAAGAAGACTGTGTTGAACTGATATACCAGGCTCTGGAAGCAATGAACCGCAGGCTTTTTAGGAAAGCTTTTGCTTTCCGAAGGAAAGCAGGTACAGTAGCCTTTGCGTACGAGCGTGGTCGTTCTGCTTACATAGATTTAGACTGGGATCCGACCCTGAAACCCAAGGCTCAACGAAAGGTCAACCACTTCGAATCTCCTCCGGACAAGTCTCTTGATGATACAGGTGATTCCACAAGCCGACCGAATAAGCGGCAGCAGGCAGAGATGCCTTTCATTTCGCCCGAGAGTTCCGAGATGACCATGCCACCACCACCGCCTCCGCCAAAGCTTGACAACAACTGTGTCAAGAACCCTCGCCCGGATATTACAATGGGATTTTTCCACGCCGTCGTTGCAAAGAAATTGGTATCGTCAGGAGTCAACAAGCTGGATGCCGAGGAGATGTTAAAGGATCTGCAGTACGAAGAGGAACTTCTGTCCAGTCCCAATCTTGCCGCTCTTCATATACGCTTTCCTTCCCTGGTCGTTGAAGGGAAGTCGTATGCAATTGGTAGGAGTATGTACGAGGCTGAAAACCAGGCCGCTGGATCTGGAAGCTGCATGCTCGTCATACAGAGTCGGCTCGCCGAGCTCACTGAACGTCGCTCTGCAGGAACGTATCAGGGCAAGGAACCTCTTGCCTTCTCCATTACCCACGAAGGGCCTATCCTCCTGCTCTGGTTACATTACATCACATCGCTAGAAAATGCGCGCTTCTACAACTTGCATGTTCTGAGCGTTTGCCATGCGACGATCCGGTCGACAAGTAGGGAATTCTTTCTAGCATTGGCAGGGGTTATGGAATGGGCCAGTACTGAAGTTTTGGATGGTATCGTCAAGCAACTGGTATTGATTTGGAAATCTGCACAGAAGCAGACTGTGTAATTCATGCTACGCCTTGCATCTTGGGAAGCTACTGGACCCTAAGTTCTTTTTGTTCGAAAGTTGAGTATTGCTCCCAGATGGGAGTTTGCTTCCTCTGGTTCCATTCGATATTCTTCTCGAATTTGATCAATTTCCCGGTCAATTGGGACCCTCTATCAGCCGCGGCTGTCGTCTCCTAGCAGCGGGACGGCATATTGTTCGGCTGTTAGGCAAATTGTCTTGCGTCGGCTTCATCCCAACGCTCTCGGGGTTTCCATCTTCGTACTTAAGACACCGAGGATGCCGGAGAATCCAGCGCCTTTCTAAACCCCGACTGATGCGGAGGTATTGCCTTGGGTGTGAGGCAGCCTTCTCCGCATGGGGTTTGCAAAAACTTCGTGTCTCTGTACAACTCATGTCGTGTGCCTTCGTTCGATGCGCATGTTGACTGTGTAAGCTTGAAGCGTGACCGATCAGAGCAGCATCATTCAAACTCCATTTACAATCTAGTATCATGAGCACCTTGCAGGATAAATTGGCAATTGTTACCGGTGGAGGCTCAGGCATTAACTTGGCCTTTTGCAAGCTTCTGTATGCATCAGGTTGCAAGACTCTTATCGCCGACGTTGCTCTACATCCAAGTTGCAAAGCTTGGCTCTCTGCGATTGAATCGGAAAATACCAACAGCTCTTGGGTGAAATACCTACAAACCGATGTGACAGACTGGTCTCAACTGGAGAAGGTCTTCGATGTTGCAAATGAAGCGTTCGGAACCACTCCTGACATAGTGGTCCCTGGTGCTGGAGTCTACGAGCCATCATCAAACTCATTCTGGGCTGACCAGGACCGAGATTCTTATAAAGTCCTGGACATCAATTTAGTTCATCCCATCAAGACATCACGCATTGCTATCCGACGCTGGGTCCAGGCTGCGAAAAAGGGCACAATCATCCACATCTCGAGCATTGCAGCACAGCGATCAAGCATAGTAACTCCTCTTTACACGGTGTCTAAACACGGCATCAGTGCCTTCATACGTGGCATGGGGGCCCTAGAAGACTTGGTTGGCATCCGTGTGGTTGGAGTTGCACCCGGGTGAGTAATTTTGTGTTCTACTGGTAAGACAGCCTTCCAGCAACGTCCGCTGACAGCTTTTACCATAGAACGGTGGGAACTCCTCTGTTCACCGATCATCCTGAGGCATCAAAGTTTTTGGATCTGAACAAAGACTTCTTACTCGCACCCGAACATGTTGCGAATGCAATGTTTGACTTGCTGGACGAGAACAAATACAAGGCAGGCACCGTCTTAGAGGTCTGTCATGAGACGAAGTGGAGAGTAACCTCGTTACACAATGATCCTGGCCCACAGGGTCCAGCAAGCTTCACGAGTCGCAAACACGAAGCGATCAAAGAAATCATGCAGTACCTGAATGTTGATCAACCAAACCCCAGCGTGAGCAACATAGAATTGAAGTCGGATTGAGGAAAGGAGTCAAAAGGTTGAAGCCGTCTCTCTTCTGAATACAGCGACAGGCAATCCACTTTCTTGCTGTCTAACAAAGCATTGTACAACTCTGGTCCAGCCTTCTATTCATATACTCTAGTAGAGATAGTTCTGCATTCATCTCAAGCCTAGGAGGGTCAACAAAAGTTTCTCTACTATTCTTCTCGCTCTTTTATCAAGTCTCGAACTATTAATCTGTCACTCAATTCTCCAATAACGTCAGAGTTCCAGTCTTGGAGATAAGATATTCGTTCACGGCCACGTCTTTCCCGCTCTCCTTTCCGTAGCCACTTTCTTTGATACCGCCAAAAGGACTCTCTGCTGCGCTTGCATTCCCGGTGTTCTGTACGCATCAAGAGACGTTAGATTTCCTCCTTTAGCAGCATCAATAAGGGACGAAGTAAGCACTTACCAAACCAATCATGCCGGCTTCGAGATTTTCTAGCATTCTCCATACCCTGTTGACATCGCTTGTGAAAGCATAACTGGCCAGACCCATACTGGTATCGTTGGCCAATTTGATGACTTCCTCCTCAGTGTCGAATTTAAAAACACCACAGACTGGAGCAAAAGTTTCTTCCTTGGCCATAAGCATGTCTTTGTTCATATTTGCGAGCACGGTTGGGGACATGAAATAACCTCCATTCCCATTCCCGCACTTACTCTCGTCGATGATGGCACCATTGAACGCTTTCCCGGAGCCTAAGGCCAGAGTTGCCCCGAGCCTAAGTGCGTCTGTCACTTGTTCTTCGGCCTTGACTAGCCCCCGTGGTGTAGTCACTGGGCCCATCGTGACTCCTTCGCTCATCCCGTGGCCAACGGACAGTTGAGCTGTTTTTTCGACAAGAAGCTTAAGAAATCTGTCATGGACGCCACCCTGAACATACAAACGATTGGCTGTGATGCAGGCCTGTCCAGCGTGTCTCCATTTTAAAGTCATAAATTGAGCCAATGCGTGGTCGAGATCGGCGTCGTCGAAGACAATAAAAGGACAATTCCCTCCAAGCTCAAGCGTACACTTTTTCAGATTCCGTGCACAAAGCCCAGCCACAATCTTGCCAACTCTTGTACTTCCTGTAAAGGTAACTTTCTTGACGAGCGGGTGTGTACAAAGCCTTTCTGAGAGGCTGGGAGTATTCTGTAGACTAGTTGTGATGACATTCATGACACCGTCGGCAAATCCCGCTTTGGTAGCCAAATATGCCAACGCCAAACAGGTGGTTGGCGTCTCAGGACTTGGTTTTATAACCATCGTACAGCCAGCGGCCAGTGCTGCTCCTGCTTTGCGTAGTACCATTGCTATAGGGAAATTCCATGGCACCAGCGCGGCGGCCACACCGATCGGTTGCTTGATAACCACTGTCCTTCGGTTCGGTGCCGATGGCGTGGATATCGATCCCTGAATTCGCTCACATTCTCCAGAGAACCACCAAAGGAATCCGAGCGAGTAGTCGATCTCTCCGTAGGCTTCAGCGAGCGGTTTACCTGTCTCGTGAGTGAGAAGTACAGCGAGGTCATCTCGAGCCTCTAGACAAAGGTTGTACCAATTCAACAGTAGTTGAGCACGCTTTTTAGGATTCAGAACCGAATACTGTTGAAAAGCTCGGTAGCTCGATTCCACCATTTCGTCCACGTCCTCAGTATCATTGTCGGGGCATGATGCCCAAGATTTGTCCGAGCCAGGGTCGAGCACGTTGAACCGCCTACCAGACTTGGCTGCCACCCATTGGCCGTGACGATACGAGTCTTGACGAAAAAGCGACTCGTCTTTTAGTTGGAAAATAGGGCGGTCAAATTCCATGATGTGTCTTTATGAGGAGAACTAAACACTCGTTGTCTCACAACTGTAGAGTCTTGCTGTATTCAATGTCTTAAGCAAATGTGCACTGTATACATGAGCTTCTTTGCGATTGCAAGTCATGACTTATAGTCAGTGGTCACGACAATCCGAGCGAAGCGCTCTGCGCTAGGCCACCGGTGTTCTTCTGCGAAAAGAGGACCGACTGAGTCCTGGACCAACTGGTGCCGAACTCAATGTTAATATCCCGGTGGCCGAGCATGTTGCCGGATCGCCTGTAGTTCCAATGTGGCCGGACCGAAGTTCTATCATTCCGTTGAGGAAATGAGAGCGAAATGTCCTCCGTGAGCCAGCGGGATGGCACATCGTTCGCCCAGGTGGAACAGACACAGTCATAACGGATATCGAGATTGAGATCTCAAGGAGGTACAAACAATGGGGCAAATCTCCCATACGGTATCGAAGAACTTGCGTCATCAATTTCATACTCTCAGACTCAAAGAATTACAATGAGAAGCGTTTTGATACTGAACTTTGATCATTTTTTTTGGAGGGATAATCTTTTGGTGCTCTCTGGACTATGTGCAGTCATTCCACCTTTCTAAAAGCATCCAACCCCTACTAAACTGCTCCATACATTTCGCCTCCGGCTTGAGCGTCAATTTTGCTTGCTTCCTCCAGACCCACGATAGTGAAGAGCTTCCTGGGCGTATATTCAGAAGCCAGGCCAGTCTTCCCAGTCTTCTTGAGTCTGACCAAAGCTTCACGTGAGGCCTGATATGCCGGGAAGATAGTAGCGAAAGGGAAGATGATGATGCGGAAGCCCATCTCCTGGCATTCAGCGGGAGTGAATGAGGGCGTTGCACCATTCTCAACCATGTTGAGCAGAACGGGTTTGGGTGACAGATCTTTACAGACTTGTTCAGCTTGCTCCCGTGAAAGGATACCTTCTAAGAAAGCAACGTCCGCCCCGGCTGCGAAAGCTTCCTCCAGTCGAGCTACAGCTTCATCATAATCGTGGGTTTGCAGCGCGTCCGTCCGAGCGATTATGACAATGTCGGATCCAAGCCGCAAGCGGGCCTGGTAGGCAGCCTTGATGCGCTGCGTAAAGACCTCACGGTCAACCACAGCCTTGCCTCCCAAATGACCACATCGTTTCGTCTGAATCTGGTCCTCGATGTGCAATGCTGCGACACCTGCACGATGGTATCTCGCCACAGTTCGCGCGACCATGTTGGGACCTCCGTACCCAGTGTCGGCATCCGCAATGAGTGGAATGGCTGGGTCGAGGTTCGCAATCATTTCGGCATGGTTGCTCATATCGTCGAGAGATGCGAATCCGAGGTCTGGTTGACCCAGTCTTGAAGCCACAGTTCCTGCCCCGGTCTGAGAAAGTGTCCTTGTTAGATACCACATTTCACGGATTTCCACATCAATATGTTAGGGGATATACCATGTATAGACAATCAAATCCAACCTCAAGGGCTGTTCGAGCACTGAGTCCATCATAGACTCCTGGGGCAATTATGATATCTGACTTGCTCTCAATCAGCGTTCGCAGTCGTTTTGCTGCTGTCTCCTTGCAAGAGATTGTATGGTTGTTGATGCTACCCATTTTGTTGCAACCTCAGATAGCTTTCTGTCAATGGCCGAACCCATTCTTGTTCCATTTATATAGCGACCCTTCTTGATGAAGTATAACATCTTCGTTGTCAAACGCAGCGCATACTCGATTCGGCTGCCTACCTGCCGATATCGGAACTCATGTCGAACAACTCGGTTTTCGAGGTAGGGGTCAAGATGCCGGGCGTTTCCTTCCAGCCGGCTGGGGAAGTTTAGTCGGCTTCCAGGAGCATGCATTATTAGTGAGAACTAAACAAAACCGATGTTACTACTCCATGGATTTGAACTCTGTCGGCCCCTGGATCTATCAACCAAGCAATCGCGGTAAAGTTATCCTCGTTGAGAACACTTCTAATTTACAGTTAATCGGAATGTCACAGGTCCCCCTTACACATTGTTCCTTGTATCGAGATACAATTTCTCTTCTTCGAACCTTTGATAATCACATATCTCGATCGTAGCTGATGTAAAGATCATCCTAGGCTACGAGAAAGATTCATAATCAAGCTTACAGCTATGATTTGATAAAAATCAGATGATGTATTACAGGGCTACGAAGACAAAATTCTCGATAAGCCCTGCCACCTTTCAAGCCACTCTACTCGGAGATTATATTCCAATCTCTGCTGTTTTCTTGGTGGTTTCACCATTCGTGATACTTTTCTTTTCATCCACAGCTGGCTCCTCTCCCAGATAGTAGGTTAAATCACCATCGTTGTATTCGATCGTGGAAAAGCCATTACCTAGCCATCCCCATCTGTTTCCACTGAGATATTGAATGTCGTAATCTTCGAACCTGGGGGATGCTAGCACATCAAAGTAATGTAGTCGGGTTCCCGGCCAAACGATTGGGTTTGCATCTACCCGGCCTTGCTTGAACCAGCTCCGGCATCCGTCTGTCCAGGCAGTACGGTTATGATATGTCTTAGCGTGTTCACCGAAATCCGCAACAACACTTGGTTTGGGCGAGAGTCGCCTGATGTGCTCTATGCGCATCTTCTTGATGATGGCAACCAAGTTGTGGGAGAGCGCAGTAGCCACGGGGAGAAGGGAGCCCTGAGCAACTGGGCCGTAAGGTCCAAAATAAGTGAAGTAGTTTGGGATGTCTGGGACGCCTGTGCTGATATACCCAAGGGCATGGTCCTGCCAAAGGTCGCTGATGTTAGTGCCGTTCAAGCCAATGACCGGATATCGAGGTCGGAAGGACGTGTCGAAACCTGTCGCACAGATAATGACGTCCACTGGTACTTCTTCACTATTTGATGTTTGCTTGAACCCTCCAGGGGTGATTGAATGAACCGTCTCAAAATAGACTTTGGATTTGGGAGATGTTAAAGCCTCGAGATATCCAGTTCCAGGAGTCGGACGGCGGCATCCGACGTTGAAAGTCGTAGGAATGATGTGTGATATCAACTCCTGGTCATACGACAACCTCCTTGACATCTCCTCATATGAGTACTACGATAACTTTGGTCAGCAAGCCAGACTAGGTGTAAGTTGTCGTGGAATAACTCACTTCTAGCGCCTCTTGAGCCTCTTTGGTATTCCGCAATATGAACTTGAATCGGATATTCAATTCTCTCTCCACCATCTTCCGGTACCTGAGATATTCACCCTTGTCCTTACCCCAGGAGGCCTTTTGTTCCTCCGAATCTGGGTCACGTTAGAGACAGATCGTCCCTACTTGACAACTTTGAACTTACAATCGAAATTTTCGCCTGAATCGCTTGCATATTTTGATCCATAACCGGCTGTCACCCAGATTGGACTTCGGACCCAGTGATAGAGCTTGTCAACATCTTTGCAAATGGTTGCCACCGTCTGAACTCCAGAACTTCCACTGCCAATGACAGCAACACGTTTTCCTTTCAAATCAACAGAATCATCGTAGGTGGCAGTATGGTAAAGTTTGCCCTTGAACTCATGCAACCCCGGTATATCCGGCCACTTCCATGCACTGAACATTCAAATAAGTAAGAAAACTTCGTTGGGCCACGAGGACACATACTTGAGAAAGCCCGAGGCGTTAGCGATAAAATGAAATTCCTCTTCTCGAATCTTGCGGTCTTCTTTGGTGCGAGATTGCACCACCCACCGAGACTTCTTCTCGTTCCAAGCTGCATTTGTGACCTCTGTAGACAGCTGAATATATTTCATTAGATCCTCTTCGTCAACGATATCACGCATATACTGCCAGATCTCCCTGCTGCCAGAGTAGAAACTCGTCCAATCGGACTTTGGTTTCCAGGAGAACTGGTAGCTGACACTGGGAATGTCACAGGCACAACCGGGATACCTATCGTATATTAGCCAGTTTTCAACCATAGCGATCCAAACTAAGGATGGCTTGCCTGTTTTCCAGCCAAGTTCCACCAACATCATGGTTTTTCTCATAACAAAAGACCTCAACCTGGAGACCCTGGAACGCATTCAAGGTGACAGCATGATGCAGAAAGTCGATCCCGGATGCCCCAGCACCTATACACAGGATCCGGAATGGTTCTTTGCTGATCGGTGGCTCGCCGATCAAATGTTCTGAAATCTTGTATCCTGACGGCGCTGAGATAACCCACTCGGGTGAGAAAGCAGGTCTCTTCTCTGACGAAGGATATTGAATTCCTGGCTTGTTGCTACCAACATGTTTTGGAATTACTACCTTGTGTTCGCTCAAGGAAGGTACTGTAGATTCAGTCGATGGTGCGACCATGCTGCGAAGCTGGGTGTAAGCCCGATAGATTAGCTCTTAGATTTGAAGTTTGTTATTACGTTTGTGGTCGAGAGATGATTGACAAGATCACTTTTCTGGAGAATATAGGAAACTTCTAGGCCAGTAATTTAATGGCTTGGTCACGAGAGTCGATGTGCAAGACACCGACAAGCGTACAGCACGGCAATCCGGGACTCTTCCCAATCGACCGTGCCAAAGGAGAAGGCACCCATTCGGTTAACGCGCAGGCAAGGTAAATCCGGGGTTGCGTGACCTCTTTGTGGGCAAATTGCCGAATTCACCGGCTTCATGATCTCGGCATCTCGCTCGTGCCAACCAGCCTGACAGAGCATGAACAGCCGAGGCTCAGGGATATCCCTTCATTCATTTGGGTGTGAAGTGCCTGCCGTTACCACTCTGGCGGACTCTAGAGATCTAGTTCGGTATCACAAGATTATATCGGTCGGTCGGCTTGTTATTGAGCCAAGTACGCGAAACTCCCCATCATCGAGTCACCGTTCACTATAAGGGCCCATGTCAACTGAACAATATTAACAAGGCTTCGGTACGTTTGGGTCATATCGAGAGTCTCATTGCCTGAATTTCGGCCAGAGCCTACCTCTACAGTATAAGTCAATAATATTTTACGCACAACTACACACAAATTACCAGGATCTGCAATTGAAGGACAATGGCGCAGGAACCTAAAGCTCAACGGCTTGTTGGTAAAATTGCACTGGTGACGGGTGCTGGTAGCGGGTTCGGTGCTGCCATTGCCACGCTCTTTGCCACTCATGGGGCAGATGTTATTGCGGCCGATATCAACGACCAGAATGGAGAAGCTGTTGCAAGCAAGTATCCCAACATTCACTACCTCAACCTGGACGTCACGTCAGAGGCTGCCTGGAAGAACGCTCTGGAATTTGTCTTGTCCAAGTTCGGTTCCATCGACATTCTCGTCAACAATGCCGGTGCAAGCTATCGGAACAAACCGACTCTCACAGTAACCACTTCGGACTTTCAGAAGTGCATTGCCGTCAATTTGGAGAGTGTTTACCACAGTGTCAACATTTTCGTCTCCAAAATGGTAGAGCAAGGCAAAGGCGGGTCGGTAATCAACGTTGCGAGCATCGGAAGTACGAGACCCAGGCCAGGATTGGTCTGGTATAATGCCAGCAAAGCTGCCGTTGCCAATGTGAGTGCGAGAATTGATCTTGATGTAACTACGACTGATACATATTGATAAAATAGGCTACAAGAGGTCTGGCTGCAGAGTTTGGAGCTAATCAGATTCGATTTAATGGACTCTGCCCTCTTCTTTCAGGCACTGGGCTCTTCTCGACATTTGTTGGGGTGGAAGACACACCTGAGAACCGCAATAAGTTCATCGGCAATGTCCCACTAGGTAGACTTGCAGATCCCTATGATGTCGCTCATGCTGCTTTGTATCTCGCAAGTGACGAGAGCGCCTTCATTACAGGAGTCAATTTGGATGTAGATGGTGGCAGAGGTGTGTAGACTAGGAAATACACCCGTAAATTCTGAACTTGTACTTCAAGTCCACTATCGCCTACTGCAAATTGAAGAAATATGCCTCCAAGACCAGCGTTTTGACTCGCTTGTTGATGATATCAGAGTTCTCAACAGTCCAGAGTTAGTCTGGTATCTTCTACTCGTCATCTAGTTTTGAAAGTCGGACGATATACCTGGGCAGCGTGCGGTATCATACAGTCAGTCAAGTAGTCGAGTCTGTTCTTGGTGGCCCTCTGTATCGACAGTGCCACCTGGGGCCATTCTGGGAATGCGAATACTCACCTCAGTCTCAGCATCCGAGATAGTGCCGATTTCGTTAAGGGCTTCGAGGCTAAAGTATTGTAATTTCAGGTGCTCCCGCCGCTGCATATAGGAAAACGTAAAAGAGGATCTTCGACTCTTGCTTAGGGAGATATCATTGTGCATTTTTTAACAGAGCAAATTCATAATATTGACCGCAGTGACGCAAAGTACGGGGCTGTAGTAGGTAAGAATGTATACTAGAATTCTTTTTTACCCTAGACCCGAATTTGTGTTTTCTAGGTTGTTTTGTTTTGTTGTGAAGGAGATCTCCCAGGCCCTTTGTGTTGCGATTTGGATCACTCCGTACCACCATTCCCCTATTACGTAGAATTCAAGATATGTGTCTTTCAATATCAAGCCACTTCTCTTTGTTCATCTTTTGCCATCGCCATATGCTTATCATTAGCACGTGGAATGTCCGTAGCACTGATGTGGCCATTCAACAACTCCTGATCCACTAGCTCGCGCTCCTCTTTGGACATGTGGGTGAGATCCATGGCGACCTCATCTCCGAAGCAAGCAGCAACCTCTTCCAGGCTCAGGCCTTTTGTTTCTGGAGCAATATAGTATAGGATCGGAACGCCGAGAATGGGGACCAGGATGAAGATTAGGTAGTACTTCCACCCAATGTTTGCGAAAGCTGTTGGTGCGGGTTGAGTATACACTAAATTTGATAAGCATAAATGTACCAGTCTGTATCGAGAGATGAACATACGAAGAGTAGTGGCAAACAAGGTAGCAACAGAGGCGCTCATGCCGCCGGCGCGAAGTTCAGTTGGGAAAATTTCCGAGCAGTAGACATAGCTGACAGCATCAATGCAGGAGGCATAGAATGTGACGAAAAGATACAAGAAGAGAACGGCACAAGCCTGTCCCGCCTTGTTACTGGTTCCGGAAAATGACGCGACAAGAGCAGTATAGACCGTCATCATCAAAGAGCAGCCGGTCTACGGTTGAGGGAATCAGCTCTGCAAATTTTGAAATGGGAGTCACAGCAAACGTACAAGACCGATGCAGAGCATGCGCACGCGGCCTGCTCTGTCCACGATGAACGCCGAGACACAGTTGAGCACCGCGGCCCAGCTCGCGTAGACCGCGTACAGTAATAAGGGCATAAAACCTGTCACTCCCAAACCATTAAGGAGGATAACTTGGTAGTTGTTGACGACTAGTACACCAGTGGACTGGGCCAAGAACCTATACCAGGATCAGCAGAGGATATCTCTAGGAATAAACTGTGCATACTGAACAAAAATTCCAAGCAAAAAGCGATTCCGATACGACGGAACTCTAAGAGTAGCCAAGAAGCCTTTAGGCATAAGTGCATCAGCACGTAGCTGATTCTGGATTTGTGCGCACTCCTCACGAGCCATCAAATAGTTTGGATCGTTAGGGGATTCGTGAAGACGGCGTAAGAGGTCCAACGCCTCTGCTGCGCGATCTTGTTTGAGCAGGAATCTTGGAGACTCAGGTATCCAGGGGCTCCCTAGTGCCAGTATAAGTGGTGCAACCACTGTGGCTTAGTTAGAAAAGCATCATGATATATTTGATTTCCACTTCTCTTACGTTGTAGACCAAGACAGAGGCGCCATTGGACCTGAGGATTTGTCTCGAAATAACAACCCAAGCCAGTCCAGCCAGCAAGAGCATAACCCATGACAAGCAGGAAGCCATGCTGGCCAACAAGCCTGCCACGTTGAGCTGGGGGAGACACTTCTGACATATACAAGGGGACGATGCAGTTCATCATGGCGGCGCTACGGAGTTTGATGGTCAGCCGAGGCTACTCAGTGTGTGAGATAGGAGAAGTCATAACTTACCCAAATCCACCAAAGAATCTTCCCACCAACAACATAGCAATCTGGACCGCCGCACACTGCAGGGTGGCTGCAACAACGCATACCGCGCAGGTAATCTGGATGGTAACTTTTCGGCCGAGGGAATTGGCCAGCCACGGAAGGCAGATGCATCCAAAAATACCACCGGCAGAATAAAGACCATTGCAAGCTGAGACAGACAATTCAATTAGTCCATTGACCGTGGAAGGAAGCACATTGTCCTTACCACCTAGAATGTTATTGGTGAAACTTGCCCTTGGGCCGGTTGTGTCCAGGTTGAAATATGAATAGAAATATGGTAGGCCAAACACCGTTCCCATGATGGAAGAGTTGAAGCCATAAAGAAAGGAGCCCAGGGAGACGAAGAATACGAGAATGAAATTGAAAGACGTGACCTTGCCCTTCATTTTCGCTGCTTGTTCTTGCTGTAATCTGTTTTGTTATCGGCTGTCTTGCTTTGACGGCGACGATTGTGAGGGAATGATTGACTCAGTGCCTGGGGAAGACCACTATATAGACACTACCGCGTATGTGGAGCTCTCAGATTTCCCCCTGGGGTAGTCCATGTTGTGATACTTAGATTCCACGCAAGCTTTGTGCACAAACTCAACCTTCATGCCTGGCATTCGTGGAGGTCGAATCCGTGGGTTGTCGCAAAGCGAAGTTGCAATTGGCCTTGAAGCCTCGGCCGGGCCCACGATGGTAGGACGCCCAATCTTTACAGCTGTCCTATCACGACTGTTTCCAAGTCGCCGGCCGGCGTTTACGTAACCGAAGACCTGGAACCTCCCTGAATGTAGCCAGATCCGAAGCCGATGACAATCCAAGACCGGTGACTTCAAGTGAATCAATCCCCTCGACCCTACCTAGGACGCCGATCATAGGCCCGGATCCAAACTCTCTAGCTTCGAACCATGCTGACCTCGGCAGTCGCTTATAGGTAATAAATTTCACACCGCAGAATCGTATACTTAGACAGTTATTCTCCATGCTTCCCAGTGAGTACAACATCGAGCTCGTACAATCTGATAGTTAGTTGTTATAGAAGCCCACGTCAAATACCAGTAACACAATGGGTTCTCTCAATGTCAGACGCGCAGCGCGCATCGGAAATTCTATGGGGGCAGTGACCGACCTTTCAGAGAACATGGCCGTTCTTGCCAAACGGAATGACATTGACTTTATTGTTGGCGACTGGATGTCAGAGTATAATATGGCATCCAGAGGCGCTATGAAAGCTTCTGGGATCGACAGTCAGACGGAGGAACTGGAAGCACAATTCGAGGCGAACTTCCTAGAGTCAATTGGACCGTGCTTGCAAGATAT